AGGGAGGGGGGGGGGGGGGGGGGGGGGGGGGGTGAAGAAAAGAAAAAAATGGAGGATTCCCCTCAATCTGCATCTCGCGTGCCCTCTTACAATTCTTTACTTTCTTCCAATAAAAAAAGAAAATTTTTATTCTGTTTGTTGACTGATTTGTTCAATGTGTCAAGTAACAGCTTGAAGCTTTAATCTTGTTTTAAAGACTTTCATTGAGAACATATGTATTTAAGAGATTCGAATTACATTTCTCCTTTCGAGGTGCGGAAGATGTATGTTTGCAAAAGCAAGAATGAAGCTGTAATTTCTTAATGAACTTGTTTACTTTTCCATAGACCAGTTCAAAAGAAATTTGTGTATAGTTTGATCTGCTTTATCCATTTTGAAGGAAAAAAATTGAAAATTGATAGAATCGAGAGGAGAGAGAGAGCAAAAAGAGAGATAGAGAGCAAGATTGAGGGAGAGAACAAAGATGTCTTTTTGTAATCGAATAAAAAATAATAAAAAAAAATCTCTTGATCAAAATATATTTTTTAAGATGAAGCAAGAAAAAAATTATTTTCTTTTAGCTTCATCAAAGTTCTGCACATTGAAATCCGTTTTTCTTCAATCTAAATTAACGATAGGTATTTGACGACGATGTTTGACGTTCATCTGTCAATCTTTGAAGTTCCTTTTGAAGGGTAGAAGATAGATTTTTGTGCAAAAAACTTCTTCGCTTCTGTTTTATCTGTCCGACTCTGACGGCTGAAATGAGATGAAAGTTAGGTTGAAAAGCAGAAAAAAAATAATTCACTTGATGAAAAAAATAATTTTTATTCACTTTAAAGAAAAGAATTTTTCGGATTCCTGAGGATTTCATAAAACTTCAAAGGAAATGAAGATAGAAAGAGAAAGATTGAGTGAAGGGGAGAGAGAAGCTATATGATTATCAACCGCTTCTCGCATCTACTTTCATATGAATGAATTATTAGTTCACGTGAAGTTGACACGTGTGTGAATACAATCTAACACAGTATACTACAATCGCATTTTTAATTAAATTATAAAAAAAGAATGATCTTGAGTTCAATCAATTGATAATACAAGTAGTAGATATATAAGCATGAATGCCAGAAAACTTGATGCGACGGCAAGAAGTGCGAGACGTTTACGTTCTCCTAGAGTAGCTGAAGTGACCTGTCTCTGGATGGGAGTCTGAACAAAAAAATGTTATGAAAATACTTGAAATTGAAGTATTTAGAAGATGTCTCAAGCTTATAAATACTTAAGAAATACTGACCTCCCCCGGACAAGCAGTAACTAATTCTGTTTTTGTTGATGTCGGCTCTCTTATCCTTCCGAATGTCTTTTCAACAAGTTTTTCCAAGGTAGATTGAAGTCCGGATGACTCGCGTTCAGCTGAAACAGATTGAAATAACTTAACTTTGAGGGAATTTCCCAAAAAAACAGTTTTGTAACACAATTCATGAATCATCATGATGTCATACATACTTTTTGCTATAATTTGGACCGGTCCACGAGGCTGACTCCGTTCAATCGGAACAATTAAGGAATATCGAACCTAATAATTCAAAAAGGAAAAGTTTCAAAAAATTTTGTTGAAAAATACTCGTCGAGCTGGCAGAATCAAGTCGATAGCCAACAGAAATACTGAATGTAGGAAGCATCCGCTAAGCCATAAATCCAGTAACGTGGCACCATTTTTGTCGCGATTCCCCGTTAACTATATATGAGGCAATTATGCAAATTATAAGAATGATGTGTACCATAACAAGTAGGCAAACTAATGAAGCAGTTGATACTAACACTTGAACTTTTCGACGTTTCCATTGAGCGAAAAAAACAAGAAAGATTACAAGAATTGAGGGTAGAAAGACGGATAATAAGCTTGATTGCCATTCGCCACTAAATTTCAGAACCAAATTTGTCAATGGGAATCTATCTGTGAGTTAATAAAAAAAAATTTGTTCTATTATAATTGCTTCAATTCGTCAAACCGAGATGAGCAGTAACCTTGGAACTTAAGGAATCTTGACGAAAATCTCGCAATCGTTCAATTGTTAAAACCTCATCTATAATTAGTTTAATTATGATTTTATAATGAAAAACATTTATAACTTCCAATATTTTCAATTATGATTTCACATTTGTAATCATGGAATGGTCGTTTCCAAGCTGCACTCTCACAAGACACTTCCGATTTGATCCTTCAAGTTGTTTTGTTATTTTGACATTAAGAGATTACCTTTAAGACTTTCAAATACCTTTGATACCATGTTAAACTTCCTGTATTTGGAGTCAGGAAAACTGATTGACTGTGAGAACTGGGAAATGTTTGTACGCGAGGCGTCCACGGTTGAAACTCGATCGGAAGCTCTAGACGATCTGGTAACTCACGCAACACGAGCCGATCGTCAATCCATGTAAGAGAAATAAGAATATCAACTACTACAGTACTCTGAAAAATAAAAGATGAATTAGATAAGACTGTGGATTGATCCTACAGCTTTTGGATTAGCTAGTAGTAAATGAAGTTCCGTTTGGATGTTGAAGAACGTTCCATTCTGACCACTAATGAAGTTATCGGGGGCGCTGGGACGTACGGATGGAAAATAATATTTGAACTTTCGCGATAAATCATTTCGTTCATTTTGATTTAAGCTTCAAAGTAATAATTAAAGAATGATAAAGGATGATATGTGTTACCAGAATATAGGCAAACAGAAGCCTAAAAACAGAATAATCTTTGAATATATCATATCTGTTCATCTCCTCTTCATTACGTCCAAATCAGTTCCGTGCTGAAATGGAAGAAAAAAAAATGTTTTTCATTCAAACAATATAAAAAGAATGGTAACATTAACAAGAATGAAAATTATGAAAAAAAAATTACTTTTTAGGAGAGATAAAACAAGTTTTTGCGGAAATCAAGTGGTTTTAAGTAAATACAAATTTCCATTTTTTCTAAATAAGGACAGAGACTGTCCTCTTCAAACTTCGAATTTGGTGTGGTTCATGATGACTGTTGCTCCAGGTGTTGCCTTTTGAAGTGAGAAAAAAATGAAAATTACAAGGAGAGGTGAAGAGAGGGTTAAGAGAGAGAGACAGAGGGAGGAAGATAGAGAGAGAGAGAAACTCAGAGAGAGAGAGAAGAAAAAAGAGGGAATCTGCCAAAAGTCAATAGAACAAGACACTGTCAAGAGCTGTCCTCATTCCATAAAAAGTGTCAAATACTAAAGAAAAAAAAACTTGTCGTCTACCTTTTCCGTAAGACGATTGTGGATGGAACAGATTGAGTGAGAAAATTAGTTTAAGAAGTTTAATTAGAGAATTTCATGAGAGGAATGCTTGTGTCTGTATTTCATTTCTCAAATATTGTTGTGAAAATGCAAGAAAAACACATTTGGACTAAGTGAACTTTGAAATTGAGAACCCTGACAAGAAAATAAGAAGAAGTTGTGAGGCAAACGCTGATAATTAGATGTGCGTTCCATTGAATGTTAATGGTTAGTGGAGAGGTAATGTGAGGTAACAATAGAACGTCGAGAGAGTACAAGAAGTTGTGAATAAGAGGAATAGAATGAGAGAGAAAGAGAGTGAGAGAGATAGAAAGAGAGAGAGAGAAAGAGAGAAAACACAGAAATGAAGATCAAAAGAAGACAGTGTTGAGCATAATTTTTGTTTGAAAGTTTTTAAAGTAAAAGTTGTCTTTTTGTCATGTTGTCGTGTTTGTATGGACTGTGATTGGAGCTCAGTCAGGCGGATGTTACATTGGAAATGAGTTATTTCCATGTTATATTGAACTGGACATACATATACATGAAGAAGAATTAAAATGAAAAGAATAAAAAGAAATTAGAGGTTGTAAGGTTGTATATGTAAAATGACAGAAGAGATGATCAGGTATTATATATATAGAATGTAATGAAGCGAAAGAGCAAATGCATATTTCTATACCAGATTTGTATATTTTAATTATAATAAGTTGAACCATGGGGTCATGTTGCTGGTTGTATGCTCTTCTGTAACCAGGAAGAACGAATCTTTATCAGCTTCAAGACTTAATTGAAGGAACAGGAAAGAAAGTATGGTTAAGAGAGAATCGGCAATAAACGTTGTTTTAAGAAACTATAAAATGGAAAAAAAAGAGAAAATAGAGGGTGAGAGAGAGAGAGTTGATGAGAGAAAGAGACTTTGAAAAAGAGACAGTGAAAGAATGGTAAGTCAATGTCGAAGTGCCTGAGGCAGTAGCAAAACTGGCCGACATTACTAATGGAAAACAACCAGAAACTTCAACACCTAAAGTCTCTCCTATAATAAAAGTGTAAATTAATTGAAATTGTCAAAATATTAATAATAATAATAATAAAAATGATAATAATATAAATGAAAGATGAAAGTCGGGGATGCGTCTCTTCTCAAAGCAATCACTGTCTCATGTAATTCAAGCACTCATCACATTGATATGCTCATTGTTGTTGTCTATAACATAAGATGAGTTCGGATTTCAAAAAAACGTTCCAAAATCTTTAAAAGTTCGACAAAAAACAAAAAATGTAAGATAACTTTGAGAGTTTTTGGTGTGAGGTTTCAAATTTCAAATAGATGAAGAGGTTCTTGTTCACTGAAAACACTTTCATCCTATTCACGCAACAGATTATATAAGATGGTATTTGAGATTTAATCATATCATTATTCGACCCCATAGCAACAAGCTGGCAATGTTGATCATGGACAGAATCTTCTAATGAAACAATATGTCAAACATTCCGTCAAAAACATTGGAATAACCTCGTGGATGAGTGTATAAACCTCGTGGGCGAAATGGTTAATCTGCTGGTTGTTGCTATACGGTTGAAAATCTATTTTTTCACAAACACTCAACAGCAAAAGGTTCATGAAGTGAACAGCATACCGAAAACCTCATAGTTGTATAGTAATTGGTAATGAATTAATGTTCTGTCTATAACATTTATGAAATACAGTTCCCTCAACTTGCATGCACAAGCACAAGTGTTTGCGACCGCAAAATGCATTCGTCCACTTTGAAAAGTAATTTACAAATTTTCAGTTCGTTCCAGAATATTGACATACACAAAAACAAAAACTATAGTACAAGAAACAATAAAGAACCATCATCCCCCCCTACTTCCCAAATACAAAACGGTATGTACTTGATCAGGACAAAGCTAGATTATGCAAAAATTAATTAGTTTTCCACGTACATAACAAATATGACGAAAATATATATATAAATATATTGTAACAAACTATTTTGGGTGTGGTGTATGTTGATGACGATCAAAACAATGTTTATCCAATTCAATTATATTACGTAGATACACGTGGATTTACGTGAAGATATGTGTTTGCATATTTGACCCCCCCCCCTCACACACACACGTACGTGAACTTTTGAAATTCATTTAATTAAGTGTCATCGCGTACAGATCGGTTGTTGTTTATATAATTAATTATGTTTATCTCATATTTACATAAAAGATTATTCGTTTTTTTTTCTTCTTCTTTCTAATTTTTCTATTTCTTTCACGTCACAAATCGTCTGTTTGTAAAACACTTGAACATTATGTTCAGATGCCAATAGTTTAAATGAAGAAAAGAAACTTCTTCCAATTATTCAATTTTCTTCGTTCATTTACGAAATATTTATATTTGTAACAACTATGGCTATAGATTTGTTTTCATTTTTTTCTTCATTTCATTTCTCAACTCTCACCTGCTGAGATAATTTCAATGAAAAAGCTCTTTGTTGACTATATAGGAGACCTAATGGCAAGTTAAGACGAAAGCTTCTAATACGTTGTGGTTTAACTCATTTCAATTTCTCAATGAATATGATACTGAAATGTTAACGTAATTTCTTCAAAGATCTTCTGCTGCATACTAGAATGACAAGGATGTTTTTGTTTGTTCATATTTGAGATGAATGTAAGGCTGAATGCTTGAAAATGATTCGAAGAAGCTTCATCATCACCTGAAACTTTTTTTTTCATATTTTATTGTGCGCCTCCGTCGACATTCTCTGTTTAAAGTTTTAAATCTCAAGTTGCAATTCTTCTATTTCATATCAACAAATATCTCAACAAATTTTATCACGAAAGTTATTGAGATGAACAGCTGTTCGTTCTTTTTTTTGCTTCTCGAAATAATACAAAACGTGGGCGAAGTTAACTAGCTTAGCTCATAGTGTAGGTGGATTGAAAGAAAGAATGACGAAATGATGAAGATTCTTGAACATTCAGTATCGAATCGATTTACCCTCTGCTAACGATTTGTATAAAAGCCTCAATAATAAAATGACAAGCTGTATCCTTCTCATTATTATTATTCGCTCAGCCATCTTTTCCATTCTCTTCATGGGTTTCCTTTAATACAATTATCTATCCTCTTTTCATTCACTAACTCAAAAGCATTCTTATCAATTTTTTTGTCTATATAAGCCAGACTATATATTGCACTTAAGTCGTAAGCTCTTCTCTAAACCACATAATTCTTTCAGCTCAATCGTCATGTCTACTTTCAACCATTCTTCATCATACAACCGCACCTATGAAAAGAAAATCATCCAAGAAGCTCCAAGGATTCGTATCCCTGAACAGCTTACATCCAGATTGGATAATTTCCCCGTTAGTCTTGTACCACGATATTGTCAAATTAAACAAGTGATTCAGGAAGGATTGCTCCATGGATTGACTTTCCCATCCACTCAAAACTACGCTACCTCTGAATCTGTTCGTCTTGCTGACGATTCTTTCCACGCTACTCTTGACGTTCGAGATTATTCACCCGAAGATCTTAAAGTCTCCGTTATTGGAGATCAAATTCAAATTGAAGGCTCTTTCACTGACAAGAAAGATGATTTGGGATTGATCTCAAAGAGCTTCTCCAGAAAATTCAAATTGCCTAAAGATGTGAAACCCGACGCTGTAACCTCCAACTTGACTTCAGATGGATTCTTGACAGTTGTCGCTCTACCTCCTAAGAGAGTACGTGCATCTAGTGAAAACAATATCATAATTTTATGTATTTTAGGAAGCCTCTCCACTCCGCTCTATCCCCATCAAGGTTATTACATCTCCTCCAGCAACTCCAGCAGCAACTGCAGCCCCAGCTACCACAGAAAACAAGTAGATAAAAATCTCAAAAACTTATTAAATTATAGCCTTATTTGGCTCGGAACAAACAGCTCAACCAAATAGTTTTCTGTCACTATAACCTTCTATGACAGAAAAAATCAGTTTGTACATTAATGTAATCACTTATTCCTTAGCTCTTTGTTTTCTTTAATTAACATATGTTGACCAAACAGATGATAATCTTCGAAACGATAAACTCTGTTCATATTATTTTTTTTCTAAAAATGTCTGATACTTGGAAATAACACATAGGGACCCCATGAGAACAAGGGATTGAAGGTCGACTAAAGTACAAAAGGAACAGTCTAGGATCAGGGAATTGCCATTTTAGCCTTTCATCGTCCCTTTATGAAAGGAAAAAGCAAAGTTTATTTGATTTCGTTTCATTATATTGACTCATGTCAGCGTCAAATTCATACAAATTTCAAATCAAAAGAGAGGAGAAGAGAAGAAGAGTTTTTGAGAGAGGAAGAGGATTGAATGAGAGAAGAGGATCAATAAGACTACTATGCTCTCAACATTCAAAGTTAACAAAAAAAAGAAAAAGCAAAGATTTAAATCGAAATAAGTCTTAGTTCCATTACATTTTGGCTAAATTTAGTAGTTGTTTATTCAAGAGCAGGCGAATGCTTATAGGCTCAGGGTGAGAAATTGATTGAAGTTGAATGTTTGAGCAAATTCCTTATGCTGTATTGATGTTTGTAATCTGATATGATTCAATATGTATATGTTTGTGATGAAGTAAGTTATGTGAATTATGGAGATACAAGATGAGCGATTAAGTTCCAACATCATCCATCCCATCATCATCGTCATCATTCATTTGCACTCGTATTTCATCATTTTCTCCTTTTTTCTATTTTAATTAGCACATTTAGTTTTTATTAATATGACGTTGTGCAAAATATAATTAATAGATAGGAGAGTCTCTTTATATGCTTATTTGAAGATAATATGTGATGGTATCAACTTGGTGTTCTGGTCTGTTAGTTCTTTTTGCTACAGCAAGTTCTATTGCTTGTCCATCTTTCACAAAAACGACTAGAGGTCTACTATCTCTTCATTGGGTAATCATCAATTATATAAGTTCTACTTCAGGTCAGGAAATGTTTCAATGAGTTCATCAATCACCTTTCTCTATTTCAGATTTCACCAGCTCCTCACATGAAGTACGATCTTTGTTACTATGTTTATCAACTATTCTTATGATTCTAGAACATATCTTGACCTGTAACCAAAAAGGTTATTATTATTTTACACTCTTTATAGGAACAGAGCGTGCTGTTGTCAGAAGCGCAGCTTTAGTACAAGAGCGTGCTCATTTGTTTCAATCTAAAAACAATCTTATACTTTTAGAATATGTTTTAAAAAGGATTGAACAAATCACGCTTCTCGTGGTTTTGTTTTTTTTCGATGTTACATATGCATCCTTAGCATCATCAGCAACCTTGGAAGTTTCATTACTAACTCTTCTGAGTCTTATCTTTGTTGTTACAACCGCAATGCGAACGAAACCTTCACCTCCAAACAAACTAACCAAAGAGGTAGATAGTCTAAAATAACTCACGGTACCTGACATTCCTTTTTAGACGCTTCTAAGCATTCATTCTACTGATCTGTTTTGTAACACTCAGAACTTCTTTCATTGTTTAGGAATCATGGGTGGTTTGCACTTGCTCGCCATATCAGCCATTATCTTTCTACAGGTGATTTTCTTGAGGCTCTCGAATGAGACTTTTATTTTTCAGATTCCTGTATTTCATTCATGGAACTTTTGCCGGTATGTTATTTATGTCGTACGGTCCTTGGGAACGTTAAGTATGTTGTTCTGTCCTTGCTTCTTTGGTGGATTTGTACAAGCACTGAAAACACTCGGAGCCAAGTTAGGAGTTAAACGATTGAAATCAAATCAAAATACTAACAAGTTCATATGTGATTCTTAACTAATATTCATTTATTATACTGTGATACCGTTTGTCAAGAAATTTATGTTATAAAGTGTACAGCTCAATAAATTACCAGTTTAAACTTTACAATTAATAAGCGGATGTATTCACAGCACGATTCGTCACTTTATCAGCCCTAGACTTCTAGCTTCCCGCACTGATAACCATGCTCCACATAGTCAGTCCAGTCTGGAACGGTGGCATTGCTGAGCCATTGATCTCTAGTTAATGATCGAAGCTGAACTGCTTCTTGAAGGCTTCCAAAAAGACTTCCTATAATTCATGGGTACTGAAGGCACATGACAAGAGCGTTACCTCCCAGCCAATTTAGATACATTGATGTTGATTGACCAGCAAAATGATAAAACTTAACAACATTGTTAGCTTTGTTCTCCTTCTCGCTTGTGCACAGTATCAACTCTTCCTAGAATATAATCAAACTCAATAGAAAAGTGGTATACCAGGGTTACCTTCAGTCTCGATAGAAATCCTGGTATGAGTGAAACACCTCCTGTAACTAATATACCACTGAACATCTGACGGCGGAGATCGATGGGAAGCTAAACGAAAGTATTTTTCTTTTCATTCACTCTCACCTTGTCGATCAAACGATTCAACAGGATTTGTAGAGGTGGATCATCTTCTGAGTTCTTGTCAAAGAAAACTTCACAAGCAGTTTCTCTGTAATGTAGTTGGTATACAATTGAGCATGTATTATCCAATTAACCTCACGATTCCAGGAACTTTTAGGCTTTCTGTTTTGATCGGGATTTCATAGGAAACAGGAACTGGATCCAGTAAAGCTTCTTCTCCCTGAACTTCTCAATTTACTCAAATTAACAATTCAATTTGCCTTCTGAATCAACAGGCTTCGTTCCTTTGAAGTACAAAACAAGGACCTGCATATGATTTCCTCCAGAATGTCATAATCCTATTGAGGTTGAATTATAGCACAACAGAGTAAGTTTTACAAACCACAACATGCTGCCAATCCTCTTCTGATAAAACTCTCTCATTACCGTCGATTTCGATGATGCGACCAAATTCAAACATGAGCTCCTTTACACGGTTAGCCAAGAGACTGTATCCTACTTTGGAAATTTCCCAGTTATTAAGCATTGTAACTCCTTCGGCGATCTTAACCTTATTTATGAGAAGAGAACAAAATTTGTATGTGTTACAGGAATGGCAGAGCTCTCCTTGATACCTACATCCAACACAAGAGCATTTTTCGTGTTGAATGGGAAAGTTGCACATAGATGACTCGGCATGAACAACACAGAAGGAACATGCAATATTTCAAGAAGAACCTAGAAAGTTTGATATCAATCCCTCATCAATTCCTGTGAGCTACTGATACCTTACATATTGCTTGGCGCAATTCAGTTGGAGTGAAAACACTTTCCACAATTATGACTCTTCGTTCTCGGGGCATTGTAATTAAAACACTGGGACGAATGACATTCAGAAGCTTATATTAACCTTTCACTTACTTATAAAACAGATACTTGAAAAACTTGAAAATATTTTTAATATTCGGTTGAATGGTAGTACCATTCTCGTCAATCAAGTTTTTGTGGACTTGAAGTAATTCATCTCTAAACTGCGTCCTCACAATTCTGGGTACTTTATCTCCAGCAAATCCACATCTTGGATATAAAATTCTAGTTAGATATGTCAATGTACGACTCACTTCGTCAAATTTGTTCCTATTTCAATGACTACTGCAGGCTTACTACTATCAATGCTGCCTATGGCATGTGAGAAAGATGTTGACGTAGCCGAAAATGACGAGAGTGATCTTCGCTGAGAAGTTCTGGTCGAAGCCAAAGCTGTGGACATTGTAGCTATATATTATATGTATGTAAAGCTTTTTTTTATTATTCCTCCATTTTTCGATTACGGTCATTTACGCAATACGCGCGCAGTTAACTGGGCGGAGCCAGAAACCAAGAGATATAAGAAATCAGCAAAAATGAGAAGGAAATTTAAGCAAAAACAGTAACTAGTTATGCCATTCAATCATTATAATTATAATAATAGTGTTTTTATTTATCAGATGAATGGAAGAGTAAATTGGATGAATCTCTGTAAAATCTGATTTAGTGTAGCTTCGTTCTCAATTTAGACATGTAAAGCAGGCAAAAACAAGCTTATTAAAGTTACAAAATCACCATCAAAGCTAAAAGCTTCCGTTGAAATTACGCTGTAACCCCCTTTTTTTGCTGACGTCAGTTGGCTTTCTTTGCTTATGGCAACACTAGAGGTTTTGAACTTACTCAGAAGAGAGGTTATCTGCCTGTTTGTTAATAATACAATGGAGGTTCCAATTCTAATGCATATACAAGAAATGCTCTCCACAATCATTCCATCTAAATGAACACGTACAGTTTTACAGTTGGCTGGGTAGAGGGAAGTCCCAGATGGACTTCATTAGATCCATCATTCACGGTGAGATGCTTGTAGAACTATCAGGAGTATGCCCGGATGAGAACGTTTTCTAATAAACTCAAGTATATAATTTTTATTATGCTTTAATGCCGATGTCCATATTCGGATATAAAGCTAAGGCCATCTTATTGAAGCTTCGGCTATTGAAAGATCACAAAAGCGAACACTGCTGCAAGATTCTGTTCGTTCAGTATGTATGGAGATCAAATGATATTTATCAGAGTCTTTTGTATTGTTGCTATTTTCAGTAATGAAAAACAGTAATAGAATCATGCTTAATCTAAATTATCTAATAAAGTTGTGTCTCTCCTCCCTCCCACTTATTTCCAAATGAGCAACGGTAATTATTCTCGTCGAGAGGCGGTACTTACTCTATCACTCAAGAGCATAACCATTTCCGGAATCCTTGACTCCACTCAGCATTCATTAGTCTACTCAAAAATTATTCAATTTATCATTTTTTTCTTAGGTGTAAGGTCTTCCGCAGACCGGCTCTCACAACCGAAAGCCCATCTTCCTACAAATCCATTTTCATGCATATTTCCCATAGTTTATAGTTCCCGTTCTTTTCTATTGTTAGATAAAGCTACAGTTATAGCCATTGCTATACTAAGAGACTTAAATTTTCTTGCTCAAAACTTTTATATTCACTTTCTACGTTCATATGTCCATACGTTGAAGTTCTTCACATCTATAACTCACAGCCTTAGAACAATTATAAAAGTTTAAAAACAATTGCCTGGTGGGCGATAACCCAAAATGAAAATTGGCAATAATTCATTAAATGAATTTTCATAATTTGAAATGATGTGTTTAGTCATCTCATAATAGTCCAAGTTTAATTATCTGTCTAAGAGTAGCCTGGAGTAATTATGAGTTGAACCGATCATTCATATATTTATACTTCATTTCATTCACCATCCAACAACGTTCTCATCACCTAATATTTCCGAATCTTGTCTTAATTCTCTCCTTTACAGAACTAACGGTATGAAGTTCATTCTCATGTTCATCTTTGCCGTTATTTTCGCTTCGGTCCAGTCACAACTTTTTGTACCTTCTCCCTCAGATAATGAGTAAGTGACACTATCAGATACCTTGCAAGTATTAACCAGATTAATTAAGGGCTGAACCAGTTTTCCGGTATTGGAAGAGATCCAGCTTATCTAACATGATGAGACTCGGAAAACGTACGGAGAAGAAAGAATGCACTGACTGTCATCTGGGAAATCTGATGAGAATAGGTCGTCGACGTTGATATTGGAGGAATGCATAGCAATTTATAAAACCATTGTATACATTGACAAGCATTCCCAAATGAAGTTATAGAATGTTGACTTAATCTCTTTCAAAATAATTCGAAGAATCAACCTGGAGCAAAACACATTGACATGTTCAATAAATTTGTGAAAAATTTTTTTTATTTAACTGCAGAGCATTCAAAAAATTAATAAGTGCAATAACGATGAACTAACTCTTAGCATGCGCATTAATTAGCATAAAGAACGACGCCTTAGGCTAAGCTACGTGAGCATCGCTCATTTACTATTCTTCATAGCAGAGGGCGGTTGAATGCGCAGATTTTATTTATAGATACTCCATCGTTTTTCCCAACTGAAAAGAAAACAATATTCTTCCACATTTTTATAGTGAGTTCGTTCAGTTTCAAAAGCGCACATAGTTTGTTCGTGAGTCAGATCTTGTCCTCTCGTTTAGTAATATGATCAATTCGTTAATACTCACTTCGATAATATACATATTTCCATTAATAAGCAGTTTACATCACATCAAAAAATGTATCCCTTCTCATCGCACGATGTATTGAATGGTAGATGTTGCGTTTTTTCAAGTTATAAAAACATTTCGCTCTAAGAATTATTCGATTCGTAAGGACCAATTTTCCCTTGAAGCAATCGATACATTCCTATTTTCTCTTAAATCACATATTAAAAGATAATTTGATTAGAATTTTCAAATTTAAACAACATTTTCATCAAATCGCATCTAATGTCAAAACGATATCCTTCTCTAACATGTTCGCAAAGCCATAACTATTCAAAAATCTCTCACTATCCATTGCACACACATACGTAAAATGTTACCAAACCTACGTACTCGAGAATTTTGCCAACCCTCCACTGGGCACAAATCGTGCTTCGTTGTTAACCATTTTTTTCAATAAAATACAATATATTCTCTTTTTAGATTTCTCTTTCGGTTAACAAGTAGGAATGCTTTGATGATCTTATTTCAACATAAACATTTTATCAGTAATATAGGACTTCAGTGATAACAACGTTTGAAAGTTTTCTAACTATATAGAAGCTTACTCATGTTTAGATGTCAACAATTCCATTTACCATTCCAAAAAAGAGAAGAGCTTTAGAAGGTGGTTCTGATCTCAGAGGTAGGAGTAAATTGAATTTGAGATATAATGATCTATCTATATCTTAGACGCATTTTCTTACATTGATACAGTTCCTAATACAACGCTCTATAAAGAAATTGAAAATGTGGTGTTTAAATGTTTATCTGAAAGCAGGCTGAGATCAGCGTTGTGCATTCAAAATGTCAGAAAAATTTCGAACAAAATTCTTGAACAGAAGGTGGATTAAGAGATGATTCTTAATAGAGTTACGTTGTGCCCTTTTTAGTTTTTAAACTACAAAGCAAAGGTGAAAACGAACGGATACTCTGATGCTGAAAGTTGGGCTTTCCTCCACGTTAATTCATTACAACAAGAGGTTCAATCATGCCGAGTAACGAGTTTCTTATATATGTTTTTTAGGAAGACGACGTATTAAGATCAGGCCTTCAGGTTAACAATACTTACTTCAATGAGCTAGGAAGATCTGAAGAAGGTTAGCTATCGACAAACCTTCTTGTTTCTAACTTTCATTACTTTTAAGGAGTATGCTTATCTAGTCACCCCGATCTAGTTACACCTGCAAAATTCTATAAGGAAACTCCTGTTAGAATCATACTTTTCAAAGTTATCAAGTATTACATCTTTGTTGAATCATTCAATCATTATGTAATTACAGAGGAAGACAAAAGAAAGTAACATTGGGTGCTAAACATCCTGCTTCTCTAGATTACAATTCGTACGTAGCTGAAACTAATCCCGGACGAGTGAAACGAAGTGATAGATACTCGAGGTTTAGAAATACTATGGTATGTCTGTTTTCCAACGCTAGATCTAAGCTTTTTTTGCAGGTTTTTTTGTACGAGTTTGATGATAATAGTTTCCCAGTATCAATTCCTACCGGTATTTGGCCTTTCGCCGTTTTTGATCTCACTCTTTTAAATTCCTGGAAAACAGTTCCATGTTTCGAGCATCATATTAGGTAAGTTAAGTTTCTTTAGACATGATCGTATGACTCATCTTTTAGTGGTTATAATGGCTGTGAAGAAGTATGTAAAGCTGTTATGAGTGCGGGACTTTTTCGTGAAAAGTTTGAGCTTAGCTCAGTTAGTGATTCTATATATGCTGTTCGTCCAGATTTGTTGTACGGTGTTGTTGTTGTACTTTTCTAAGATTGATGATTCAGATACGATTTCCAAGTGAAGAGGTACTGCAAATGGGAGCACATTGTTACCCACCCAGTTTTGAAAAACTTGTTCGAAGAGCAGTTCTGGAGCCAATTACTGCAGACAAAAGAAATTTGTGTGAAAGTAATCATTTTTATGACTTCTTGTTCTAATAGTTTCTCCGACAGAAAGAAAACGAAAGATATTATCTAGCTCATTATTTGATGAGATCGTCAGGTTCGACATTTGAAGAAAAAGTGAATCATATGACGAAAGAAAGAAAAGTGAGTGTTTAACTTACTCGAATAATTTTTTTGAAACGTTTTTAGTGCGCCGTTGGAGGAATGAATACAGAATACCTTCTCATTCTAATAACTCAGGGAGAGTTGGCTTCGCGCATGGGCTTTCCATATCAATCGGAAGAAGTGTTACTGCATGCTATTTTTCTTCGACAAGGGCAGAGTATTATTGGATCTAATCCCCTCAGCTATGATTTATGGGCTTCTGAAAGGTAATATTCGCATGTGATCGCAAACAATGAACTGTTTTTCAAGAAGTAAAAATGGAATGAAATTGGATGAAAACTTTTTCATTGATGGAAATTCCGACAGTTATATCGCAGAGTGCCGAAAGTACTATAGCCTTCAAGTTAAAAATAGTACGGAAAATGCCGAAAGAAATCATCCTTCTGGAAGTTCAACACCTGTGCCAACTAATGGAGATGGAGCATCGGGCGTCCGAGGTTTTTCCAGTTGAGCAATATCGATAGTATTCATGTTTAGGTATTCTGTCCACGAAAAAGCAGGAGTCACGAAGACCTGCTTTTGGAGGCAACTCCCGAGGCCAGAAAAGAAGAATCCGGTGGGCCGATAATCATGGATTGCCTTTACAAGAATATTCTGTGATTGAAAGAGTTGGGAACTCGCTCTCTGTGAACAGATTGAGCAAGAGCGAACTATTGCTTGATACGATGCGGGCAAGTTACAATTCTTATGGCCCATTCAGCTTCATAATTTTTTAGCCAAGTCATGAGGAACGTATGCGAGCATCTGCTGAAGATTCATCTCCACCTTCTATCGAGAATCAGAATGTACCACCAACAACTTCACCAGCTGTAGTATCCGAATCAGCGCCGAGTGTTTCCAATAGCATTTTCCAAGATGCTTTCAGTTCTCTGAATACAAAAACAACTCGTAAGTGAGTCATTCAGTATCATTACATGTTTTAATATAGTTCCGACCGAATTGACTCCTTTTACTCCGCCGGGACAATCCACTAGGGTAAGTTCAAGATAATTTGACGACATTTGTTTATGAATTCTTACAGACTGAACCCGTTGTGACTAATTTTTCTAAACCACCTCCGTGTTCGCCTGAACAAACTACCACAGGAGTTCCAGAATGTGTAACTGAACAGAGAAAGGTTTAAATGGAAATCAACCTTCAGGATCATATCTTTATTCTAGAGCGATGATATGGATATGGACATCGATTCAGATTCCGAGGAAAACAGAAGTTTCTCTCCTGTGCATAATGTTAGTTGATACATACAGGTATTGTTATAGTGTGCCATTTCAGGCTGTCCTGGATCCTAATGATATTGACTACGATAGTCGTTTCAACATTGCTCCAGTTTGTGAGGCTGAACAAAAAGAAGATGAGCCTGTGGAGCCTGAACAAGTGCTGCAAGCACCTACCAAACCAGGTTCCAGCTGGCTCAAAAATTTACAACGTCCATATGCAGTTTTAGAACATGACGTAATTGTGTTAAGTGATGATGAAGCAGAGGTTTCGCAATCTACGAAGGTTTCTAGTTTTTCTTTTTTTTTCAACAATTTATTCTGTTAGAAGGGACAAGATAATGGTGATACATCAACCGTCGATGAATTATTGAGAAATATTCTAGGCAAAAAAGACAAAGAGAAGGTTGTTATTAGAATTTACAGCCTCTCAATTATGACTTCAGGACACGATTCCCAACGGGAATGTTAATAATTTCTTAGATATATTGAAACCTCCTGTCTCCCGAGAAGAATGCAAGCCAGCTATAGCAATACCCGTAACGAAGCGTAGATCACGTTTCGACATACCACCATCCGAAGGTTCTATCAGCTGTCATTCAAGTCACACAGTTTTTCAGTACAACCACCAAATCTTGGTCAGTTCTCGTCTCCTCAACGTGGCTTCGACGTACAGTCTCCAGCTGTTTCACCGGTAATTTAAATTTCTCTACGCTTCCAAAGATGCTACGAAATTTCCCTTCTGAGCGAATATTATGTTTTAAGATGCCTAGTATTATTAGGCCTAGCGAGAGTGACAAAGAAGAGATCAAAAAAACCAAACTAACTTTTGAAATAAAAAAGAAACCAATGAGCAAGTTCCAACCTCGTGTTGGAGAGTGGGTAAACTGCATAATATTTTCACGAGTAAAGAGATATTCAATTATATTTACAGAGCCCTCCCTTCGTTGGTAATGTTTCGGATATACCTTTACCAGGTATCGACAAGGCTTCAGAGACGAAAGCAAATGTCGCAAGAAACCGGCTGATGTCTTTACGTATGTTCTACACCGGAAGCTAATCGTGTTCCTTTAAACAGAACGTAACCTTGCAGTTATGACAAAAAAAGGAGATCCGGAAACACCGATGTTCAGTTCATCTCTGAACTCTGCAGCCTCACTTCCAGCTTCTATTTCTTCCCCCGTTCGTACTGGTCCTAGTTCATCACCTAAGCCGGTAAGTTTCAGTTTACCTTAATTTGAAATAATGCAAGTGTTTAGACAAATTTCAACCCACCTTCTGCAGCTCTGCGCCACCAATCAAACCTGTTTGGTACTCGCAATATTCCTTTACAGTCCGACGCCTCATCAGTATTCGCTAGTCATCAAAATAACTCTCCTAATTTCAATCAGAAACGTTTATTCGCTAATGGTGATAGTAGCTCGTATTCTTCTAATCCTGATTCTCCTCCTCCCCCAGCTTCTCCTGAGCCTGACTTTGACCCTGGAATATCAACCCCTATTCTACTACTGTCTAACTCTGACACTCCTGAAAGCTCGAAAGCGCAGTCTCTGATTCGAGAAATACCATTAGGCTCAGGTAACTTTCAGTTGCTGTTCAGTTAACGAAATCCAAAATTAGTGAAGAGAAAGCAGAAGAAGCCGGTACGCCTCAGTGACCCATGTGAGGAAGAAGAAGGCGAAATAGTCAGTGATGAAGAAGAGCAGTCAAAATCAACCAAACTGATTCCCGAGGTATGCAATGCCTTTACTTAACTGTCTTATCGAGGAATCGTTCTCCAGGCGGGATCCATAAGAACTTCTCCCAATACCAGACATGTGCCCGAGATGCGTGGCAGTTCTTTCACACCAGTACCTGTCGAACCGCGATCTCAACAGCGCTTCCATTCTGTCAATAGTTCGAAGCCAGCTGACTGGGCATATATCATAGTTCCAGATGTTTTGAGTTTCGAGCCTCATTGCTTGTAAATTAGTGTTCAACGAACTTGAGCATATCTTCTTATTATAGGAACCCAGTGGATTTTCGTGCTTTCTGTGAAAGAATGATGAGTATTAATTCTTCCAAAATTAGAGATTTTTTGAAGAGTTTTATTAAACTGCATCGTCACTGTCTCAAGCACGTGGAAAACAAGCGGTTCCTTAAATTTTATTTGGCATTAGTGTAAGTTATGTATTCAGATTGACCGCATCCGATGAACAAACGAGAAAAATTTTTGAAAGCTATTATCAGACATTAACGGAATTTGAGAGAAAAGGATTAATTCACATCATGCCGGAACATGAGTGTGATGAGAAAAATGGGAGAACTCAAAATGTGAGCCTGTAACAGGGAAAAGGGGATGACAATAATCCATATTTTCAGGATATCACTCACTGTTTGAAGTTAGCTCTGTATAACTATAGGAGGAAGCACGTGGAAACAAAATTAGTATACATGTCAAGTTAGGACAGTTTGTTGTAATCAAGTCAGCTCAATATTCCAGACCAACATTCGACTTCCGCACTAGGACAGGCTTTATCGAAGACCGCTGTTCCTATTATCACCCCTCAAGCCCTTTTCTCTGGATTCCCACATATTTTTAACAATACATATATGTAATTTGCATGTTTCGGTTCGAATCGTTTATAACATTTCTTTTTAATCGTTTTATTTAAATGAAAGAGTGATATTACAGATGAAAAAAAAATGATTATATTAAAACAGTTAATAAGATAATTGGAAACTATTTCGTCTTCTTCGCTGAAATAAGGAATTGCAAATAAGACAAATGAGGTGTTAACCGACAAACTGGGGCTTCGATGAATTGCCGACATTCGTGTCTTTGGTTTCATTATGCCTCCGGGCCAAGTAGTGGAGATCCTTGGGAACTTTCTAAGAAAAAAAATATCTTCCTTTTTAAATGAAGTCAATACTTGTTCGCCTTTTAGAAGTAGTGATATCAAGCTCTCAGCATGAAACCTATCATGCCAAGTCATGAACGACAATGAGTCGCCTTCCCGTCTTGAAGAATACACTTAAACCTTCTAGTAATAAATCGAATATTACCCTGCTCTTCCTGTACGACCAATTCTATGAACATATTCTTCGATCCCGTCCGGGAAATCATAATTGATCACGTGCCTATATACAGATGTAGTCACACGCAGAGGAACTCACGTTATGTCGGGAACATCAATACCTCTGCTGGCCAAATCTGTAGCTATAAGAATCTGGATCTAAAACGAAGGTTCGTAGGTATATTTGGATGAATTTGCTACTTTTCCCTTCCTGAACAAGTGTAGCGATTGCTCTCGCTCTTCCTGAGATCTACCAGAATGTAAACCCTGAGCATCAATCCCTTGCAGACAAAAATCAGATGATAAGTGATCGGCTCTTTAAAAAAAATCTACATGAGTTCATAAAATTCGGTTTACTCACAAAACTTTCGATTTTACAAAAATTATCAACTTGTATGTTTTTCCAAAATTATGATTGAGAAGGTTCACAATTGCCAGAACTCTCTCAAACTTCTCAAATTGTTTAAGGAACTCAAAATATTGAGTAACAGACTTGTTAGGCTTAAATGAAATATTTTTGAAAAACGCTTCAAAAAACCAAACTGTCAAATCCAAGCTTCCTACAACTATCATAATAGCGTCTTTGGTGTACTTACCAACTAATTTCCGGACGCTTTCAGGCCAAGTGGCACTAAAATGAAGTTATCTATCAAACAGCGCATTGTCCTTTACCTAGTCAGGGCTACAAGACGATCCGTCCTTATTTCAAACATTATTCTTCGAATGGATGGTTCAAATCCCATATCAAGCATACGATCTGCTTCGTCAAGCACCTAAAATGTGAGTAAAACAATAACAAAAACTATGAAGATCTACTGTGTAAGTGATAGAAGCCAGAGAGATGACACCTTCATGTGCAAGATCTGCGAGCCTTCCAGGTGTTGCAATTACTGAAAAACATGATCTGGTACGAAAAGATAAAAGTCAAACCTATTTCGACGCCCTCATCACAAGATTCAAGCTGCTTTCTTCTGGGTGCACCTCCATAAAGACAAACACTTCAATTATGATAATGAGAAGTCATATATTTAAACAGGCACCTTCTATATTCATTGTAAGAATATTTTCTTATCTCTCCATGGATTTGTTGAGCTAGTTCTCTGGTTGGAGTGAGGATAAGTACGAATGGTCTAGGTAATTTTTCATCTTCTTTATAAAGCCTAAATTAAATTATTTTCCACCTTCTCAAACAGAAACTTGAATCATACGTTCTTTGAGCATCGATATGAAGAAACGCTGGTAGTAGGAAAGCTAACGTTTTCCCCGATCCAGTTTGTGATATCCCAACGCAATCCTAAACGAGGCATGTATCGCGGATTTCTTTCAGTATTACTTGTCCAGAAAGAAGAGTAGGCCACATTTGTGACTGAATAGGGGTGGGTTTCACGAAATTATTTTTCTGAATCTCACGCATAATTTCCGCTAAAATCAGTATTACTCTAAGGTAGGGTAAAAGAACTTTACGATATTTCGAGAAAGCACTTTCGAACGTCGTGTAAGGAGGTTGGTTTTTGTGACAGCTCTGCATTTTTTCATTGAGTGGGTAAACCTATGAGACTTTAGCAGGATTCGACAAGGCATTAATCAACACTTCTAAATGGTTTTCCTTGCACCATTCCTTCGCTTCTTCTGAACTCATGGAAGCATCTTCTTTTGTATAAAGGTTGCGAATAATATCTTTGAGACCTGAGCTGTGCGGTAAGAGATGACCCACAAGTGGGGAACAAACCAGAAAATCGACTGTCATTCTTTCGTAAGTCTTCAGCTGTCTCTAAGGTTAGTCGTTTCAAGTCAGGCAGATCTTAGGTAAGAAATAGTAAGCAAAAAATTCTGTTAAGTACTTTCTCCTGAATCTGATTTAGAAAAAGATAATCCATCCATGTCTTCCGCTTGATTCTATAAGTAACTGATAAAATAACATTGCTGACAAGACGAAGCAAGAAACGAAGGCAAAGGCATTATCCCTTCAAGACTATTAAAGCTTCTGAACGAACACAAGTTCAACTTCATTTGCAGATAATGTAAAGAGAGCATATTAATACACGCGTAAAACAAGAATATAAGTCAAGTTGTCATGATAAAAGCAAGCATATTGATCTTTCTGACTGAAAATTTCAGCATTTGTTGAAGTTTGCCAATCTCTTCCTTGTCTAGTACCACTGATAACTTGCGCATGAACTAACCATTTGCCTGGTTTACGAGAAGAGATAATCTGAACAGAACAATAAAAAATAGTTTTTTTTTTTAATAATTACTTGATTCAATACATAACGACTCAACCCATCCATGTCATGAATGTAAGTTGTTATGGCATAGTTAAGAAATCTAGCAATATCTCTATCAGGACATGTAGCTGCTGCTCTATAGGATTTGTTGCTCGGCTCATCAATTCTATTACTCTGAACTCTCAACACAGATTACGAAAGAAATATGATGAAATATACCTCCATCATAGAAGATTTCACGTTTTTGAAAGGCCTGTAAACAACTCCTGTATGATTGTTAAGTTGGTCATAATTATCCTGTAATATCTTGTGTGAGTCATAAACTTGGGGATTGCTCACCTCTCTATCTTGCAACAATTTTTCAGAGAAGAGAATAGAGGACTGGTTTGACTTAAGCAATGAAAAATTAATGAAAAAAGGAGATTGAACATACTCGAATTATATCAGGTGTTATTCGACGTATTGGTTGAAGTCTTGCATGCGTGGACGTAACGATGCTTGCAGCAACGATAAATAGAACAGTTAAAGTTTTCATCTGAAACAACAAATATAAGAAATTGAACGGAGTTAAACGGAAGTTCCGAATACTATTTTTTGAATTTGAGGGGGAGTGTTTAAAAAACTTGGTGTTTATAAATAAAACTGTTGTATTATAAACTGAAAATAATTGAAGAATCATCAAGGTTTATAAACGTGTTTATGACAGCTGATACAGAGGCGCCTCTTGATTTAAATCAACAATTAGCATATCAGTTAATAAATGTTAAACTGGCGCCAGTTTTTTTGTGCTAGCGTCGCGTGCGGTTGTGTCTTTGCGCTCATTTATTTCCTCAGTTTTGGAGTCTTAGAATAAATTACAATCTTTTCCTTCAAGAAACGTTTATCATTTATTGTTAGCAATGAACAATCCTTTGATTATAAAGCAAATATATATTACAAATATTATATACTGTACACATCATCACCGAGACTGTCTCGTTTGATCAGTTTTTGTGGACGTTGCAACATCAAAAAGGGATGACGGTATCTTTTCTCCATCTCGAACATCTGAAAGAACCTATCGAAGTCGGATAGATAGTTTTTGCTTTACCTTGCTATATACAGGGTTGTAATCTTCTTGTCCGGAGAAGACGATTGCGTCGCCGAGCAGAAACAATGTGAGAGCAAGGAATAGGATTGAAGATTTCATTCTGAAACTTATACGATTGAGACTGAAGAATAAAAAAGGGAGTTGAGTTAGCGCCCGGTCTGGTAATTCAGAGAGATTTTATGACGGTAATAGAGGCAGTCTTACTCTTATATGATTTCGACTTACTCGTTGTTTTCCAGGAAGAAACTTTTTTGTCTGAAAGTTGAAGCAAGAATCAAAGCAAATTGAGCGGACTTTTCAAAATAGAAGTCAAAAAACTATGAGAGCTTAGAACAAAAACCATCCACGGGGTCTACAAAATAGGAATCTAGCAGAGTCACAGACCATTGTATTATTTTCTAAGAACGAAAAGAGTTTTGAAAGTTTTTGAAACAAAAATTGGGATTTTTCCTGAATAGTTGTCTAACTGTTAGACAAATACTGCAAGCAGGAAACTGATCGAGGTTACCTTCATCCGAATTAACGTAATTTAAGTGAAACAGTAGGTTGAAACCCGTCTGCACATTTTACTATTTTGCGATTTCAATAGGGAACATTTGATTATTATAGCATTTTGAATAGGTTTTGTTCTCTATCTCAAAAATTAGATAGCCTCTGAGATTTCATGTGATTGTGTGAGAACTCCACGAGGGAAATGAGTTCATTTAAAGGGAAGCTACAAAAAAACTGAAAGCAATAACAAATAAAACTAAGCTGAAGAAAAAAAGATAAAATTTAGTTATCATGATGAGAGATTTTCGTCTTTTATCTATCATCATCCTTTTTCAGGGGTCTACACAGAAAACAATGAATCAATCCCAGACGAACGCCAACTGATTCTAAGATAATGGATGAGTAGGGAGGGGGGCCAATGGAAAATTGAACTGAACTTGCAATATTAATATAACATTCCACGGATAACATAAGTTCTAGAGCTTGTTTTCTGTAAGCATCGACTAGAAATTTTGTTTCTGTAGAAGTTGCAGGGATCAACACTGATTGGAAATGTACCTGCTGTCGTCTTCTTCTCCCTTGTGGTAATCTTAATACCTCGGCAAAGTATTAAATGTTGAAGCAAAGAGTTTTGAAATACACATAAGTGAGAACAGATTATCAATATGATATTGATATATAGTTATATAGTTAGTAAATCGATATAATACACCCTATTTGTAGTTACCAGCAGTACTCTGTGATTTCCTATTTTTACAAACCAGATGACATGAGATAGACACTAGCTAAATGATCTAATATAAGCTTTCTCGTTCTGATAATGGTTTTCACATATCAATTTTTGATTTGGCTAGTTAGCTTTTCCATTATCAGCTGTATCAACCGTGGGATCGTTGAGGCTCTCTCATGTTCTAATAATTGAGTCAATGGTCTGGTCATTTTCTGTTTCATTTTCGTTCATCAGAATCATGTGAGAGCGGTTGTGCAGTGTGATGAAGCATAAAGTATTCGCAAAATAGAGTTCTACCATTGTTCATTGGAGATGTGTTTTGAAACAATTTATTATCAAGAGAACTTTCAACGATGTTGTTATGGGAAGAACTCGAAATCTAAATATGACGAAATCGGTATAATGGTCATTGATGATGCAAACCTTTATAATTAAAACTGTTATCTTCCTCAGACTGAAAATCTAGTTGATTCAAAATTATAGCCACAAGTACTGTTATACATAAAGCTACGAGCGTGATAGTTTTCATTCTCTACGAAATCTGGAAAGTTATCTCAAATCATGTTTTTATGGAAGAAAATCTGAGTAAAGGGTAATGAGAACATAAAGGACAATATATTATCAAGTCAGCTCAGAATATTCCTCAATATACTCTGCAGAAGATAAGAAGATATATCGATCATTAACATTTTGAACAGAAATGACGAGTTTAAAGTGCAGTGAATATGATATTTCCAAAGAATAGCACGTGACTTATTAAATTGGATTCTTATGGAATATCTTTTGGATAAACGAAGGTGTTGTTGTTCGTCCGTGACATATACGGTTTATCATCATTTGTATTATTTTTTAAACAAAATGTTTGAGTTCGATGGATATGCATGTATTGCTTGCGATATGCCAGCTTGAAGGACCATTGTTTTCCCTCCATCAAGCTGATACTTTCTTCATATAAACATTGGAACCTGAATTTGTAAAGATTTTCTTTTTTGTGGTTTTCTTGATATTTTCATGAACAACAAGAAAAAAAATATTTTGTTTGTTTTCTATTTATTATTAAATACATTAAATATCATTCAGTACAGACTGAGAAGATAATCCATTTCTTACAAATTGTTTTTCTTATGTCTTTCACATTTGCTGGTTACTTATTAAATAAGAAATAAATAAAAATTACAAAAAATGTCCAAAAAACGAATTAGAAGACAATTGATGAACAAGTAGAGTATAGTGGGTGTGTGTGTTGTTATCCAATGTAGAAAGTTCGCAAACTACAAGTTTGAAGGGAAGATGTACCTTGCTCATTTGGATGATTAATGATCAAAAAACTTTTTCGTTCTTAAATGAAGCTAGGAAAACAAATCATTTCATATTCGTATTTGACTGTTTTAGTTTTCTTCAAATATACCGGAGATCATCTTTATTATTATTACATTTTTCATTTGCTTTTGTTGTGCTTCTCTCTGATGGACATGATAGAATGAGTGAAAAAAAAATTATTTTTTTTCCTTTAAATGTTAAGATGTTAAGTTGAGATAGAATGTTGCATTGCGATTTCTTTATGTTTCGTTTTCGTTTTCGTTCTTGTTTTGTCGGCTCTCATGTGCCTATTACAGAATTAAATCTTTAGCTTTGATGATTCTCTTTTTGCATTTCGCCATCGTCCAGACTTGGTCTCTTTCTCTGCTCACATTTTTTTTGTCTCTCGTTTTGTCTTTTCTAATCTTTCTTATTCTACTATTGTCTCTATACAATCTCTCCAAATCTTTATACTATTTTCATGCAAGTTCATTTCTTTTCTGTTTTTAGTAGGAAAATGCTGCTGACAATTTTCTTATTTTTCTCTTCTTAGAAAATGGTGGTATGTGGCTGTTTGATGCTAAACTTTCCATGATTTGAGTAAATTGTGGTATTGATAGCTAGCTGATCAAGTGGCATATTGCTTTCTTGGTAAAACGAACAAACACGTATTGTGTGCCATGAATACCTTTCAAAAGTATAAGGGTTGATGCTAGCAGCTTATATCCTTGCCCTTACTATTCGATTCGTTTCCTCTTCATGTATCTTTGTCATCTCTCATCGGTCTCCTCATTGTCCTTACTCTATACCATCCTGTCTTTTCAGTCTCTCTGTTTCTTTCTTTCTCAGAACTCTCTTTGTATTTTTCATCCAAATAGAAGACAATTTCTGTCGTTTTGCCCTGTGGAATAACTGTCTTGGCTTTCTTCTCTTCAAATGTTGTCTTATCTTCTTATTTTGATTATGTTCTATAGCCAATCGTCGTTCTTGAAATAACTCTGGACGGAATTATGTAAAGGCCATGGAATGTTCCAGGTTTCTTCTATCTCGCTCTCATCTTCTAACATGTATTGTGTTGTGAAATGTATACAGGAATGAAATCATATGTTTTCACGTGTGTTTGTGTATGCGAACCAACAATCACAACACTTACATAGAGGTTTTCAGTATCTTCGTTTCGAGAACATCAATCTGATATACGAAGGTCTCAGTCAACTCTGTCTTTCCCTTTCGGACATATGTTTCAGACTTTCCTTTTCTTTTTTTCTCTGCTTTTTTGCTCTCTTGTCCTTTCAGTTCTTCATTTTTCATATTCCAGTTACTCACGTAGTCTATTCGTTGTCGACGAATGTCGGAATTCATTTGGTTGTTACTCTTCAGCAGAATATTCGTTTTGATGAAGTTTTAAAATTTCCAAATGAGATGCCGTGGCATGAGGTTTTGTTTTGGAAGCCGAATTCACCTTTTCCTATCCATCCGGGCGTTTCAAATGTTTGATTATGGTTGGAAGTTGATGTTTGAATGTTCCTCGATGATTATTCGAACCACATTACGTATATTTATATATATATGTTTTCATTGGAATATGACATTGATATTCCTCAACTTTTCATTTCTCACTCACTTAAATTTCATGCCCTAAAGCAACTTCATCTTCTTCTCGTCTTTCTCTCCTCCTCCCTCCCTCTCCATCTAGTCCACTATCGTCTTTCATTCTCCTTTTAAAGGATCCATTTTTCATGAAAAGATGTGGAAAAAAACAAAATTAGAGCATTGTGCATTCGTGAGAGAGATTAGACATAAAATATGAGAAAATATTCTATGAAAAGCAGAGAGCAAAAAGCTGGCTGTGCTTGTTCAAATCCTCGTTTCTGCTAGACTTCTATGTTCAAACCCTATTGGCTATCTAGAAGGCATTTGCGGCGCGTTTCATTCCCTGAGAGACACGTTTAATATTTTGTCAAAACAACTCAACCCGACTTCCAAGTACAAAACAAAGCATTTATTCATTGTTTTTGTAATTAGTTAACTCATTCTTGGCTTCTGAATGTATGTTTCTCTCTCAACAACTTTCTCTAACTGATCATTGTTCGATTTATGTTTATGATTTTATTGTTTCTGTGAAGAGTCGAATGATAAACACGCAGCTTTCTTCCAGTTTTTCATGCTCTTATTACCTCATGTCTTCTTTCACCTGCTGCAGCCAACCAACCACTCAGCATCTTCTCATTTCAGGCCTCCCACTTTTTCTTTTTCTCTCTCTTACTCTACTCTCTCCTCGTTCATGTGACTCTTTCTCATTCTCTTCTGCTTTTCACTATTTTCTTCATATTCTCCTGTTGACAACAAGCCAAAGAACTAAGTAGGTAGTTTACTTGAAATAGCCATCGCTAATCAATAGAGATTCTGTTTGAAGTTATAGCTTTCTGTTAATTAGCATATCAGTTATCATATGTTCACGTTGGCGGTTATGCTAATTCCAACGTTGACGAACAGTCGAAGTTATTCAAATGAAATTATTTTCGAAAGTCGCTTGCTGTTCGCTGTGTGTTAATCTTGTAACTCTTTTGTTGTCTTTTTTTTCCTTCTTCTTCTTCTTCTTTCATATGTATTTATGATTTCTATAAATAACTTTCGTTTTGTACATTTTTTTTGTTCTTCCGAATAATAGTAAGAAAAAAACAGTATTTATGTAACTAATTGAATGCAATAAACTAATTTTCGAGGAACGGCCATGCACTTGTATGTATCATTTCTATTTTCATTCTCTATCTATCTATCTCTTCTTCTATTCCCTATTTTTATTCTCTTTCTCTCTTTCTCTTTCTCTCTCGCTCTTCTTTTTTTTCTGCCAAATCCTTAATGCTCTAAATATTCTGTAGATCTTTTACAGTTTTGAAGCACTCTGTGTCCTTTTGTGCCCTTTTAGATCCAGTCATCGAAGATTCGCGTTTTGTTCACAAATTTCGCGTCTCAGTTTAATAAAAACATTTATCTGTTTAAATTTCCTCATTCATAGATAGATATATATTTGTATAGAAAATGACATAGGCAAAGGAGGGTTAGAGGAAAGATAAGAGAGTAGAAAGAGTTATTTAATTTAACTCGTCAGATATTTATATAGTTGAATAACCTTTGGCCAACCTGCGCTAACTATAACGATCTCAACTATTCTGCATTGAAAAACAATTCATTTTGAATATCCTTAAGTCTATCTACTGTTGACGTCATGTAAGCGACCTTTCTTCATTTCTGATGGCTAAGTTTAGAGAATTCTTTTTCGTATCCAAATATGTTTCTTTCCTTTCATATTTTTCGGATAGTGCACTCACTTGATATGAATATTTTTGCTGTTTCAGCTATATGCTTAAGATATATCTTTTGAGATGACATAATTGTTGTCAAAGATTCTTCATCAGCAGCGCTCCTTATTGAGTTTCGGACACACTCACACAAATGCAGAATTTGAACGCTTTTTTTGGTTTCATAGCACCTGTCGCAACAAAATGAATTTATATGTTTCTCTAATATCTCTTCTATCTCCAACATTTTGGTTATATCTATCTGTTCCTCTGTTTCTTTTCATCCTCCATTTTTCGTTTTCTTCTCGACCTTTTTTTCGTGAACCAAACGTTCACATCATCAAGTCTTTGCCCTCTCATTGTTTACACGTCGTTCATCGTTCTTCCGAATTTCTTCCTCTCGCTTTTCAATGAATCCCAACACGTGATCTGTTAAGCGCTCATCAGATGAGCTTCTGCTCATCAAGAAATTGTTATTCCACATTCCATTTTTTGCTTTGATCAGTTTTTTTTCCTTCCACCGCATGCTTCTTCAAAAACTCAAAATTTGCATGAAGAATCCTCTGGTTAGCATTTATTGATATTTACTATGTCTTCTTTTCCTATAAAAATTTCCTACTTTGAATGGGCCAAAGAGCAAGACTCGTCAAGATTGAAATGATTTTGTCATTTACAAACTTTACCAAATAAGTTGTAACGAGAAGAAAGAGCCATAGATTTAGCGGAAATTTCTTTTATCTCTCTGCAAATTCGTCTTTTTTTCCCTCTCTCTCTCTATCTTTCTTACTCTCTCTCTCTCTCTTTTTCACTCTTTTTCCCTTTTCGTCTTTACTCTCAAGGTTCTTCCTCTGGTGTTCATTCATTACATTTGTGGTTGGAGTATTTGATTGACTAGCTAGTTATCTAATCAACGAGTTTCCGGGTTCTTTCTTTCATCTTCCTTATTTGTATCTCTTTTTTTACTAATTTGTCTTCTCATTATTTAAACTGATGATGTAATTATATCGAGAACAGATTATCTTTTAACTCCTGTCCAATTCATGTTGAACTTGTCTCTTCACTTTTTCATTTTACAACATCACGAGAGTCATAGGTTAAGGACAATAAAATGTCTTTTTTTTGTTGGCAAAAGCTTTCATGTTATTAACAACTATGACGAAATGGTTTTTCGACTGACTGTCCTACAAGGAAGCAACATAATAATAAATATTTATTTCATTAGCCATGTCTCTTCGTTCTGTCTATACTTCATACTTCATTACAGTTACGATGTTATCATACAATAGTATGTCTCCATTCTCTTTTTTTGTTTCCTGTCATTGTGAATCATCCCAATTATGAGTCAACTCACTAATTCGGGATAGTCTATTGATCCAGCTTGCCTTAATTTTCGCAATTTTTCTCTATTTTTTCCTCTCCATTTCTGTCCACGTTCTCTACACTACATGATGTTCCAAAACTTGTACCCATCCTCACTCTTTCAGTCAAAGTTACGAACAATTGAACTCTGATTTGGGATCTTTCATCATCTCCTTCATTTTGTTCATCTGAAACCCGCCGATTGTGTGACAGTTGACATTGACCGTTCTCCTACTCATGGATAAGGTTGATATTGAGCAAACGTATAAGCCCCGACGATTTCATTGGTATATCAGACCGAAGGTGCGTAAAATGGATTACGAAATTTTATGCTTAATTTTTCGTATATATTATAAAATATTCTTCTTTCTTTTTATTATTTTTTGTTTGAATGAAGTTCTCTTCTCAGGGATCAAGTGCTTCCGAAAAGGATTGCTCATGTACGGCTTCGACTTCTCGTGACGATTGTCATCAAGTATAACATTATTATTGTTTAAAGTAATTAAATATGTTTTCTTGTTTCAGACAGATTCTTTGAGAGATGACTTATCTGAATATCGCTTCTGTCGTGGAGGGATTTCTGCAAAATCCTTATCAAACATGATCATCATTGCTTTGATTCAGGAAATAACATGTGGTAAGTCGTTTTCATCGTTTGGTTTTTTGAAAATCATGTGAGAATTGGCGAAAATGCAGACATTCTTTTGATTAAGGAAGGTGAAAATGTGTGTTGAGTTGAAAGACTAAAACTCACTCAAAGCTCTGCTCTCATGTGATACAAGGCTGAGCCAATATTCTGTTTCTTTCCTTTCATCAACCTTTTACCTTCCCCTTGAGCTAGAGCAAGTAAATAAATGAGACAGAAAGAGGGAGCAAACGTTCGAAAGAGAGATTGAGAAAAAAACTGAGAGAGATTAGAAGGAAGAGGAGAGTGAGTAATTCAAGTAAAACATGGGATTTAGTAAATAAATCACGTTATGAGTCATTTTTTTTCATTTGTGACCGGATTAGTGGGGGCTGCTACCTCATTCAATAGTTAATTGTTTATTTTTTATGACAAAGTAAAGTGAGAGATTAGAGAGAATCGGGGGAGGAGGTAGTTTGCAAACAGCTATCATGCCAATATATGAGATGAGACACATTCAATTCATACTGCATCAAAGGCTTCATTCTTCAAAAATTACTGGAGGGTAACTTGGACTTTGCTCAAACATAGTCGAAAATTACTCTGCAAGAGCTGAAGAGAAACAATTGGCAACAAAAAAAAACTCTTTTCAGGCCTCATATTTGCTACTCGTGATGAATTGTGGTACAGCAATCTGCAGATGCTTTTCCTAGCTGCTTGTAGGATCATTCAAGTAATAATTACAAAATGAAATTTGATAAAGATATAAAAATTTCATGAAAATGATCTCTCTGATTTTATGAGTTTGTATGTTCTCTCTTTTCAGCTGGCACCTTGCTTTTGCGCCTTATTGGGAAATTATCGGAATAATGCTGTGCTGGTGTTTCCTTTCATGATCATTCAAGTATATTTATTTGCTGAAAGTATTCAATTGGAATGAAAAATTTTTTTCAGACTACAGTTGGATCTTATGCTGATATTCAATCGTATCTTGTGCTACTTCAGGATTGGCGCGATGTTTCATCGGATTTGTTCCTATTGTCTTCTCCTTTCTACTACTTGGTAATTCCCTTATTTGGTTATGTTTTGGCTCTCCTGCTTGTTCTATATATCCAATATAAGTCCATGAAAATTGTAAATAAGAAGAAGAATAGTCTTGCTCGGTATAGTACGGACGTCGAGCTTATGAACGAGTCATTAATGTGATTAGAAAAGAGACTGAGCCGAGTTTGTAGTATTCATTGAATTCTTGAAACCTTGATCTCAAATAAGCTCGTATCTTTTCTTTAATTTATGCTCAAAAAGCTTCCTTCCCTTTTCTACCCCTTAAGTTTCCTTTCTTAACGACAATGTAGAATTACTGAAACTATTAATTCATTCTTTTTCTGCTGCTTCATAGTCTGAAAATCCGTGGGCCTTTAATGCTATAGTCTTCTGAGGGTCTCGATTACGGAGTGACAGATTCGGGTTCACTTGCTCTAAGTAGATACAGCCCCTTTGATTACATCAATTGGTTTTTTATTTATTTTTTTGTTGTTTTTTTTTGTCTTTACCGAATAAAACTTTCTTACAAACTATCATAACATTATTATTATTATTATTACTCAAGAAACACAAACAAATTTCTAATCATGAGTGATCTTCAATGAAATGAATGTCTTGGCTTTGAATAGACTGAGAATTTCTCCTTCGCATTGACAATTGAAACGATCCATCAAATTCCATTCTTTTTCTATAACTTTTAATTAGATTATAAATTGATAAGCTATACACTTACTCATTTTGTCAAAATACTTTGTGACAATTCGTTTTCCCATTCCCGTAATTGCGTCTATTTGAGGAGAATCTTGCTGTGGTTCAATTGTTGGATCATGGCGACGACGGAAGTACGACAGCAACTTATCCAAAAACGAAGGATTGCTTGTCTGAAGTTAAAAATGAATGTGAGAGGCAAGTGGTATCTTACCTCCTCGGCAGCACCGAATGGAGTGTTCCTATTAATCTGCCAGTACTTAGATGGAATGCTCAAGTAAGGATTACTTTCTTCTTCTATCTGATCAGTTTTCACTTTCTCCACAAAGTATTCTTGGACTGTAGGGCGTGGGGGTATTGGAACAACTAAGTAAAAAGGAAATTTTGAGAAATGGAAAACCCTATTTACCTGGAGGAGCTTTCTCTATTTCGACTAGAGGAACATCTTTTGATAAACAGTTACACATATAGCTCGATTCATTCTCATCTATAACCTCTTTTCTTGAAAATTATTACGAGAAAGAGGGAATCACAAACCTATATATGGCTGATTCCATATAGCTGATGAGTGCTGCAAGCACAGAAATAGAATAAAGATGAGCATTAAGGCAATATACAGGCAGTTTGTTAGGTTCGGCTTTATATAGGCAATAAAGTTATGCTAATGAGGAACAGCTTTACTCACATTAACTAATTAGAATAATCACGCTGCCTTATATAAACACGTAAAAGCTTGAAGGTTTATCTCGCCCTATTTACATATGTCATAACAGTCAACATATTATACTTAATTATTCATTTAAAATATGTTAAATAACTTTACAAATATGCAAAAATTAGAATTTGCACGATGAAACAATCATCTTATTCCAAAGCCATGTTTCTCAATAAATGTGATTTTCGGCGTTGAACTTAATATCACTTGGAACTGTACCAAATTGATAAACGGAAATGAAGACAGATAAACAAGAAAAAAGAATGAAATTCGTTAAATCACACCAATAATCAATTCGATCAGCTATCGGAGGTTTTTTGAATCTGTTCATTAAAGATGATGTGTGTAAACATGTCAATCATAGCTAGTACTAACCTTGTCATACAAATTTTAATATGCTGCATTGGAAACAAAGAAATCATGGCTGTAGCACATAATAGGATTTGAGCAACCAACCATTTACCTGAAAATAGTTAAATGAAGTAACTATTTCAGATCCTATTATACTCTCGACTCGAAACACAACCGACTCTATGCGCTGATAAAATTCAAATGATTTCATTCTGCCTGTTTTCATTAGTAATCAAATTAGCATATGACGCCAGCACACCCGTCATTTGAAAAAAAAGTTTGGTCGGATTGAATAAGATCAAATATATTTTTCTACTAACCCAATAAAGGAAACGACGTGGAACGCGGAACTTCCGTAGCGACAATGCTCAACATGAACATAAGGCCGAGATACCCGGCGAGAGCTACATTTATCTGTAGAAATGAATGTGTTAACTTCATTCTGAAGTAGTTCATTAAAACCTTTTCACCAATTTTTGTGTCCAATGGTAACAATAACGCTCCCAGAATCGACAGAGCGATTAAGCTGGTTGGAACAATTAAGAACATGAAGTAAAACTTAGAATGTCGCCGGAACTTGTTAATCAGTTTGACAACATTGTAGGTATGTGGAGCGATTTTGTAAGAACCATTCAAAATAAATGAATCTTCAAATGACCATTCCTGTGTACCCTTCAATCAATTAAGTAGGCTTTTGCACTAGCAGTATGCCTTACCACAGCCACATACGATGAGTAATCCAAATTTTTGGGTCCATGTAGTCTCATTTGATCTACTGGATAACCACAAGTATCAAAACTTATCGAGCAATATAGAATATCATAAGGAAAATTTTCTGAAAAAACATCCGCTTTGCTCAGCTACTTGTCATGCCACACTGCTTACCAACATTACAAACACACATAGTGATGAAATGAGCATAAGATTTTAACACGACAGTTCCATCCGACTTGATCTTAATTCCATTATTAAGTATAAGAAATTGTCAGTTATTTTGAACCTGGACAACACGTGAAGCATCCTGTCTATCCTGATGAATAATATCTAAACTGTTGAAAGAAACTATCGGTGGAATCCACACGTAGGCACTAGGAATTAGAACCATGTCGTTTCCGACAACTCGAGGATCAAATGCCAATCTCCTGTCTCTCCATGTCTTCAAAATGTTTTTTCATCATAAACTCAAGTTGAATATAAGATTACGAGATTTAATGCTGCTAAGTAGGAAACTTTCTGAGAACTCTCGTCTACATTGACTAAAGCAACAAACGGAGTTGAAATATAAATATCCAAAGCTTTTCTTTCCACTTCGATAGGTGAAATATCTTTATCATATCCTTGTCCACGAATATATCTGTTTAAGTAGAAGTCATGTGCACATCCATCTGAAATAAATTCTATTTAACTAATTACTTTGAAATGGCATACATGAAATCACATAGAACAGAAAGCTCAAAAAAATACCAAATCCGTCCAAACAAGCCATCATTTGTAGCTCAAACCATAGTCCAGAAATAGAGTTGAGTTTTATTTTTTTGGTGTTAAGATGCTTAAGAAAAGGTTTCAAGTATAACGCTGATCCCAATATCCCCACACATAGCCATGATTTATTCAAAAAATCGTCTCGTCTTTCATAGTCTTCTACATTTGAGCTCTATTGATTTCGACCTTTTTATGAATTATTTCTTCTGTTCACAAATATTATTCTCCTCATATTGCTCGAGTTGAAGAGAAAATGAGGACAGGTTTCTATGAAATGGTGGACAATATTATTAATTTACACTTTTCTTGTTCTAGATTGAATATCCTTGGTTCTTCCATATGGAGAGTTCTAACACTAGCTGACCACATCTTGTGATTCCTAATATGCAAATTCAGCACCCACTCTTTCCCTTTTTTTCCCTCACTCTCGCGAATATCTTCACACTTTCATCTCATTCGAGACGATTTTACATTTAACATGGAACAAATACATTTTTTCACCAAAAACAAATAATGGCAGTCTGTATCCGGAAGAGCAAGATTGAACAATCTTGGCAAACGCCCAAGTTGATTGGCAAAAATATTTTCTACTACCGGGGATCTCATTTTCTACATTCTTCTTTTTTAAAACTTTTCGAAACCTTCAATGTCTCTGACTAGAAGAAAAAAGCATAAGTCTTACCCATTAGTCAAACCCTGGGATTAAAAGCACCATGCACCGAGCTCATTCTTCCCATAACACTCCTAACAGAATTTTTGATGAAAAAAAATGGTTTTTTGTCGAAACCTCTCTCTCCCATACTTCGTTGCGTTTCCATTTCGTTAATAAACTTGTTCAGTTGTCTTACCATTTTCTATTCATTGCCTTTTTTGTGTCAAAATTGTACAATTGAGAAAAAGTTCTGTATGAAGTCTGGAGGGTTTTGAAATAATTTGATGGAAAAACAATTGAGTTGGATCTTTTTGTAGAACGGGGTTTAAATTACATTAAAACTCAATCAGATGCACATTTGATTCGGATATCGATGCAAATTTCTCCTCCCAACTTTTCATTGACAAGAAATGTCTTTCTCTTTATTTTCTCGTATTCAATACGTTATGAATCGAATTAAATGAATTTCAGAATAAAACAACAACTCATTTATTCAGTATGATCTTACACATATCGTTTCTTCGCAAGTTTATGACAATACGGAAGCCAACGTTAGTTCGTCATGTTCAATCCGTCTTCTGATTTCCATATTACAGAAAATCATCAGATAAGAAAAATGAGAAAAAAACTGCCACTCCACAGAACTCTGTTGAAAAAAACAAATGACCTCTGAGAGAGAAAATACAACTCAATTCAGAAAACCACATTCATCACTTCATTCTCGAAATATTTTTTATTCTGAATCTAACTCCTAAGAGTAGATTGGTTTCCATTTCTTTGAAGTTTGCTTACATGAAACAAGCTCATGTCATCACTATATCACACCAAGAAATAAAAAAGTTATTTCGATTCTTGTTCCAAATGTTATTTGTTATCGATTATCTAATAATCCATAGTTTCTAACACTTAACTGATTATCTACATTTTGGAATGTCATAACAAGGGTTATGGTATGATACGAGCCTCGATTTGAAGTGCGCTACAATGCTAACATGAGTGACTGTAAAAACTTGGAGCATTTCATATCAGCAAGCCTCGCTTCTTGTCTTTGACTTAATTGGTTCTGATAGACAAATAACAAAGAATCATTGATCGTTAGAGTAATTGTTTCACTGACCGAATATTACGATTTGTCCTTATTTCAAGAAGCTAAGTCATGTACCCATCCCGCCTTAATAACAAGTTTGAATTATACAGTTCAAAACGTTTAACTTTTTCATTATTTTCGACTTTTTCATAGTAGCGGTTGCATTCTTTGAGAATCCTTTTCATAATTATATATTTATTTGTTTTTCCAGATGAACGGTTCTATCATTCAGATTACCAAAAGATTCCTTGCTGTTTCACTGGCCAAGCCAACGTAATAGTAAAACACGCTTATCATTAAATAGTAGTTTTTCTAGACAGCCCAAAAATTCTATCCCATCCAGCTTTAGAATTAATGCATTTGCCGTCTTTACGAAAGAGCAACATGCTGAAAATCCTGACTACAACAAGCTAGGTATCTCAGAAGCTGCTAAGCGTATTTCCTCGAAATGGAAGAGCCTCAGTGAGGAAGAGAAAAGGGTAAAAGTTCTGTTTTATAGTGTATTTTCAACTTCTATTCAAGAACTTCACGGAAAGATGCAGAGTTCTTGCTGAGAAGAAGAAGGCAGAGTTCGAACAACTTCCAGAAGATAAGAAAAACGAAATTCTCAAAACTCTTCAACAGGAAAAGGAGTTGCGAGTAAAACGCAAATTAAAAAAAGAGAAGCTTGAGGTTATCAACATAAACTAGTAATAAGTTGCTAAATTGGGATTTTCTATAGATGTGGGAGAGAACGAATCGACCCACACAACCAACCAATAGTTATTCTTTGTTCTTAAAAGATGAGTTTGCAAAAAAAAAAGCAGCGGGCGAGAAAGTTCACCCTGTCAAAGACTTAGTTGTAGATATCAAAAATAAATGGATGACTCTCTCAGCCGAAGAAAAAGATGTAAGGAGATTGTTCTATATTGGATTCATATGATCGGTGCTTCAGAAATATGTGACTAAAGCGAATGAGCTCAAAACAGCGTACCAAAAGGACATCGAACTGTGGAAAAAGAACAATGTTGATACCAAATCAACTTAAAGTTCCAAATACCTTGTATAAAACTGGTCTACCTCATTGTTATTTTGCTCAATATTTTGTCATCTATTGTTTACTATTACGTATGGTCAACGGAACCACAAATATAACTTCACTGGTCTTGGTAGTTCATATTGTTGTTTTAACATTTATAAAACTTCCTTATCATACATGAAGTGTTTCGGAACCAGAAATGAATTTGTTTTTATCTTAATAAATCTGTGTCGAAGAATAGAAGCTTTTGATGTGCTTTCAAGATTCAAAGTCAGATTAAAGACTTCACCTTCATTGGTCTTATTTTTCAAATTAAAGGTAAACGCTATCTACTGGTCTCACAACGATCTTATTATTTATATTGTCTTACATCCTCTTAACTCCTGTCCACGTAAATCTAATGCGTCCTCAGACTCTTGATAATGAACGCTGAGCATACAAACTTGCAGTGAATGGAAGTCGTTCTATAATTTGAATATGTGTTGTTTTCTTGTGTGATCGAGTGGTCTCACAACGAACTTATTGTTTATATTAGGTCGCGTCATCTACACTTGATTCCACGTATATCTCTTGCTTCTCTAGACTTTTCTTCACAAAGCTCTTATAAAGTTTCTGTTCCAGATCTGAATATGAAGTATCTCATTGTATTAGCTGTTATTGCCCTGGGACTAGTCACTGCTGAGAAGACAGTAGACAAGTTGCAAATCGGAATCAAGACTAGAGCTGAGAACTGTGATGTGAAATCAAGGTGCACTCATCGATCCTGTTTATTAAAACAAAAAAATGTACAGAAAGGGAGATCTTCTTCATATGCACTATACTGGAACTCTGTTGGACGGAACTGAATTCGATTCTAGTCGTACTCGCAATCAAGAGTTCACTTTCACTCTAGGAATGGGTCAGGTAAGAAATGGAATTATCGAGCTGTCCATAAACTTTTGTTTAAAGGTTATCAAAGGTTGGGATCAGGGTCTTATGGGAATGTGTGTTGGTGAACGTAGAATTCTTACTATTCCCCCACATCTTGGATACGGTGAGCGTGGTGCTCCACCAAAAATTCCAGGTTTGCATGAGAAATAGATGAATACCATTGTAATCTTTCAGGAAACTCTGTTCTGAAATTCGATGTAGAATTGATGAAAATTGATCGCAACACCGATCTCTAAATTATTGAACTTTGCTCCATTTCTTTTCCTCTGATCTTGTTGTATTGTTATTTCACTGCTCGACTGTGATTTAAATAAACTAGTACTATGTAACTGTTACTAGAAGCTATTGTTTCTTATAGTTGTTTTAAGTATGCCCAAAGCGAGCACCAATTAAACACTGATAGTCCCTTATCAGTGTTAACAATCTACATTTTGATTATGGTTGATAGGACTTTGCAGCTCCAATGTTGAGCTACCGTTGTCCGAAAGAAGTCCTATTTGATTCTTCGTATTTCATGAGTCAAGTGGCATTCATCAGGAAATCATATTAGCTGTCGCATCATGAACCTTGCTTCTCTTGCACTGAGGGATATGCTGTTGATCGAAACGGCTCAATTCGAATGTTCTCTCTATTGCCTAGTCAGCGACATCACAGCAAACGTCGTAGAAATATAGAAATTGTCTGTTCGTTTTCTTTCGTGTGTATATTATCATTTTCATCTGTTTCATAGCAGATGCACTTTTTGAAACGTGAATGATATCATTTGAAACTTTTTTTTGCGAAGTCGCAACTATTCTCGGCTATTTCTGATATTGCATCTCAGCATATACAAATATGATCTTCTTGCTTATTCTTTCTCTCCCAGAATGGCCCAGTAATTTTATGAATGAGACTCTTCTTCCCCTTCTCATTCTGAACATCATCATCCCGAGAGAAAGAGCCAGGCATTGATGAACAAAAGCACATCAAGGGTAATTGCTATTCCACTAATCTTTTTGCGATCTTGTATTTACGTTATGTTCATCTCTACTATTTTATCATTCGGTCCTCATTTCTCTCATGTTCAATGAAATATTGACTTATCGACACTCTTTCTACTGTTTCACGTCAATGTCAAGAAATATTTTTGTTCGTTTTTTTTAACAGTGTGATAATAATGAATTGAAATACTTATATAGCATCTAACTAATACCAAACACAAACATGGCCATCACTCTAACTGATATTTTCAGCTGCGGGACCTGCTCATAAGCGCAAAACGAGTCCCGGAACGAAAGCCCTGCGGCACTGGCAGCTTCATCCGGAAAGCTCACCATGGTTCAATCCGCTAATCGAAAGCCACACTGGATTGAGGCAGCCAGTAGTGCTTTTGCCGTAGCATCGGCTTTGCCTGTAACCATGAATTCGATGCAGATAGCAGATTTATTTGAGAAGGTCTTCATATACAACTAAAGACAATTGAGCTTAACAGAAAATTCATTTATAGATGGAAAATGGCATATTCGAGCAAGTACCCCTTAACTCTGACATCACTTCAATTAAAAACTCGGTAATGTTTATTCTTCGCGTCCAGCAAAACCTGTTTTGTGTATCCATTGATGTGAAAACAATGACGTCTAAGCGTTTTTTCAAATTAAAAGGAACGTTTGTCTATATAAGGAAACGCTTCATCTTGTGAATTTGAATGAAATCATTTCATTCAATTATGGAGGAAACATGTTACCAATACTGCTATATATAGATCTTAATAATTTTCAAAGCATTTTCTGTTGAATCCGCTTATTACAAGTAATCAAGTTATGAGCATTCCTTTTTCTTCAGACTGGAGAGACTCTATTAATTGTTGCTGCCCGAGTAAATAATATCTCAGCTGTTAAGCATTTGGCTCAAGACAATGACATCATAGATGAGACGGATAATGTAAAATGAAGTATTAATGAAATTTTCAAATAGCTTCAATATAGGAAGGATGGAGTGCTCTGCTTAACGCCGCGCATAAAGGATACTCTGATATCGTCAATGTTCTATTAGAAAATGGAGCTTCTGTCGATTTGCCAGATTTGGTATATTAATAAAACAAGAGAGAGATATCAAACTGACCATTTTAGATGGGATGGAGCCCTCTTATGTGGGCAGTGTATAAGAATCAACCTGAGGTTGTAGCGGTTTTGCTTAAATATAGAGTAGGATTAGCTTGAAGTCTACTTAATGCTCTCTCATTTTTTAGGCGCACGTAAATTTGATAGATGAAGAAGACGGCTTAACTCCTCTTATAGTTGCTTCTGGTAGAGGCTTCACAAATATTGTAGAAAAGTTGTTGCAGCATGATGCTCAGGTTATAGGTTTATGTTACGAAACTTATTTATGTTTGTTTCGTACAGGTTAATGCTTGTGATAAGTTTGGAAGTACAGCTCTTATTTGGGCTTCCAGGAAGGGACATTTACCTATTGTTCAATTATTATTAAACGCTGGAGGAGAAGTTGATGCTGTTGGAATGGTAAATTAATGGAAGAGTATGAATCAGTAATTAAAACTTTCAAGTATTCATCAACTGCTCTCATGCTAGCCACAAGAGGCAACTATAATGGAGTTGTTGATCTTCTTCTCACTCGTGAGCCAAACATAAATGTTGTTGACCAAGTAAGGTTTTCAAAGGTTATATGTTACTGATGTTCTTCTTAGAATGGTCTTTCTGCGTTGGGAATCGCTGCTCGTGAAGGCTATATATCTATCTGTGAATCGCTAGTTAATGCGGGTGCATTCGTGAACCAATGTGATAGGTAATTCATTGATTTGAGTTCCCACTAAGTAGTTTCTGTATAGGTTTGGTAATTGGATTATTACGAGTGCTGTTAGATCTGGAAGTATACCTATTGTGAAAATGCTGCTTGATAGGTTCGCAGACGTAAACTGTAAAGATTCTGTAAGGGAGTCTCCGAATTCTATGTTCATTCCGTTGGTTTAGGAGATGCGAACACCTCTACATTTGGCTATTGATAAATCGTTTGTGGATATGGTTAATATGATTCTCGAGCGAAAACCTAATCTTGAGATCAAAAATAAGGTTTTTGATTGTTAATGAATGATAGATGTTATCAGGTTCTTATAGGATGGCGAAACTCCACTTATTAGAGCTGTGAAATCTCGTCATGTCGCTTTAGTAATGATCCTACGTCGAGCTGGATCAAAACTTTCTCCTGCTGACATTAATGGAGATAATGCTTTACACTTAGCTTTAAGAGCACGTAGTAGACGATTGGCTCAAGCACTATTAGGTTAGATTTGGTTTTGAGTCAAAATCAATCCGTTTCTTTTAGAAAATGCTCCGGTCAGCGAGAAACGTCTTTTGTATCGTCCTAATAATGTTGGACAAACAGCATATTCCATAGATATGGAGAATCCACAACCAATATTGCCACTTCTGTATGGTCCAAAACAAGCTGATCAGCAAATGGACAGTATGATGGGATATGATATATATAGTAATGTCATAGCCGATATAGGTAAGGCGAAATTATGTTGTGTTCTCTACTTCTTTTCTTACAGTATGTGAACCATCTCTGTCTTTGCCATTAACTATAGGATTGTATGCAAAATGGGGCTCAGGAAAATCCATTCTTCTCTCGAAGTTGAAAGATGCCATGATAGCTTTCTCTCGAAGATGGACAGAGGGTGCTCGTCTCAGGTAATGTTGCTTTTAAGTTTATCATAGTTATGGTTTCTATTTTCTAGACTGTCCTTCTTGTTCATATTTTATGCCATGTTTTCCTGTATCATTCTCACTTCAACTGTAGCAACGTTTGTCGCTATAAGTGGAAGTCTAGCATGGTATATAGCTGTATGGGTGATTGGACTTACTCTAGGGCTTTCCGTCGTAATCATATATGGTATAAATTTACTTGCTTTCAATTGATTATCCCATGTTCAGCTCTCCTGTGGTATGGAAGTGAACACAAACCTTATCCGCGCGCCACATCCGCAGCCTCGAAAGTTGCGAAAGCATTCAGTCATGTTCGATTGCTTTGGAATGTTTTCACTCTACATGCCCCTCTTCAAGAAGAGTGCGATGTGTCTTCCAATCCTGTTAGGTGATTTACAAATTCCCAATCCAATGCAACTCTGCAATTCAGCTTCCTTTTCGCCGATTACCATAGATTGTCTTCTATTGGAGGAGAGCAAGCCCTAACAAAAATTATAACAACGTTAATGGAAGCGGCTGAGCAACACTATGGAATTCTTCCTGTGCGAATGTTCACGGCGATCCGGAGAACTAAGGGTTTTTCTTACTATTTCTACCATGCTTTATAACAGTTTCATTATAGCGGGTCAACATGGAAGTATTCGACGCATTCTTGGTTTCCCTCTGATTCTATTGGCTGGTTTCACTTTCATAATTCTAATTATTGGAGAGAGTTTTCTATCTTACTGGCTTTTTAGCTATAAGGATAACACAGATACTATGTAAGATATCTCCATTCTACCTCGTCATTAATTTTTTTTTCAGTTATTTAACACTAGGAATAGCTTTTCTTGCTCTATATGGAGCGATATGTTTGTATCCCATAAGTTTGATAATCCGATACGGATGGACTAATATACCACGAAGACGGGTTAATAGATCCGCACAAGTAGTCAGTACTCTCAAGCTAGAGGGTCTGATGCAAAATTTACAAAATGAGGTTTGTCATTTCATTAATTAATCTCACGCAGTTTGTTTCAGGTTGACTTGTTAGCAGAAATGGTTCGTTCTCTAGATGCATTCACTCAAAGTCAAACTAGATTAGTAGTAATCGTGGATGGGTTAGATAACTGTGAACAAGTAACTTGACACAATCTGAAATGTAAATGATGTCAATTCTTAGGAACGAATGGTACAAACTCTCGATGCTATTGAACTTCTGTTCTCTGCCAGACAAGATCGTCCAATTATATCCATTATTGCTGTTGATCCACACATTATTATATCAGCTATAAACCATAACATGCAGTCGGCCCTTGCAGGTTTCTCTATTCTAAAATTCATCCGAATCATATTCTCTTTAGGAACCGAATTGACGGGTTATGATTATTTGAAAAATATTATCAATATGCCATTCTTCTTGCATAACACTGCTCTTCGTCAGCTGCAGAGAACTCTTAAAGTATTGTTTCTTTTTTGTAAAGCATTCATCCGGTATTATCTCAGGAAAAACGAGAATCTTATGCGAACTGGATGGAGAGGTTCCGACGGCAAGAAACATTCCATGGATCACACTTATCTCTCCGAGAAGCTGACGGTCGGCAGAGTAGAAAAGTAAGAAATATTGTGACTGTGTTATAATAATGGAGCTTTTAGCAAACTGTTGTGAACCCCGGTAGAAATATTGGTGAAACATTGACGGACGACTACTTCTCGAATATGAATCCTCGTTCCATTAGAAGAATTGTTAACTCCCTCACATTATCAGGGCGTCTGATGAGAGCTTTTGAAATCGAATTCTCATGGCTCTCTCTTGGTCACTGGATTTCACTATTAGAGCAATGGCCAGCTCGTATGTGTTGGTTGATTGATAGAGCTTTAGATATTTCTAATAATACTGTGACCTTAGCAGAGGTATACCTTTCTGATCCGATGTTCATACATATTCATTATTCGTTTTCAGATATATTTGCAACTCAAAGACACTATTCCAAAAAAAGATACTTTAATAGAGATTGATAGAAATTCTAATAATTTTGAGGTTCACCCAATGATATTACGATATATAACTGTTTGCATAGGTTTTCCTCACATCTGTAGCCATTCCATCGTCCGAACAACTCACTGTTGGACATATTAAGAAATTTGTACCATGTACAAGCAACCTAGATCCTTATTTGAGGAAGCTGATTAGAGGTATAGAATAGTTCAGATGAATGCTCAAGTGAATATTTAAGATAAGAGACAAGGGCAAGTTGACCCTATTGGCGATATGGGATTCGGTTTACTCGTTTTGCCACCAAACGCCCAACACTTGTTCAGAGTATGTTTATTTTATAGAATGATATTGCAATTTCCATTTAGGATGAAAATACATGGTCGACTGTTAATTGTCCATTAGTTCAAATGACCGTTGGCGAAGTGTGTGCACTTTTGAAACAACTTGACATTTCCAAGGGACGATTGGATCGAATCGTATCAAAATTCCATGATCTGAATCTCAGTGGCTTAGTATTGGCGACATGTAATTTGACAGACGTTCGTGAGGCTCTAAATGTATGTTACTGTATACAAAAATATTGCTTACCCATCATCATTAAGATAACTTTGGGCGATTGGACAATGATTCGACTCCTGATTGAAACATTGAAAGCTTTCGGAGCAAATGTGCCTGGAATAAAAACCGAGAGGGTACCTAAAATATTTTATCAGTTTATGACTATCAACTTTTGAAGAACACTCTAACTTTGAGAGAAGAAGACGAGGGTGAGGATCAAGATGATTTCAATGACATAACACCCAAAGCTACTATGACTTCGTCTTCAAATTTAGCAGCTGAACAGAAGAGACGGTATTTCCAAATCCTTTATCCTCTTACTGGTTCGCTTAGATCACTGGAGGTGACTGACAACGAACAACTGAGTGTTGCTCACAACTGGTTGATTGAGAATTGGTCCGGAATGGATTTAGGTAACAAGTAATGCGTTCACAGACATCATTCCAATTTCTTTTAGTTGAAACAGAAGGAGACATCGACAATGATCAGTGTTCAAATGCCCCTTCTGTTCGTTTTGATTGTAACGATCATGCTGAGGAAGCGTCTGATGCAGACAGCACAGAATCAAGACTGGGTAGTAGTCGTAGGGGAAGCACTGATAAGCTTTTAGAACCTCCCTCAGTTCCTCTCAGTCGTCACTCCAGCACTAATGGAAGGTAATGCTGCTACTTGCTACAAACTCAAAATATTGAAGTATCGCATACCTTTAAATATTGATTTTATCAATTTGTTTAAAATGCCGAAGCTCTTTAGTATGGTGCGCGTCAGAAGCTCATACAGGAATACATCTAGGTATCGGAAGCTCAGTAGGTGCGGCCTCTGTGTAGCATGACTGTCTGTAGGGTTAAAGGCTAACTATAAAACAAGCATGTGATGTTGTCTCATAATATCCGTAACGTCTCTGAAAATAATGTAAAACTTATGTCCTCGCGTTTTTCTAACAATTCTGAAAAACTGCTCTCCATCTACTAAAATTTCCTTTATACTTGACAAAATTCTTCACAAATTTCAATGTATTTGCAGGAGTGAGTTGATGGCCGGAATACATAACGATTCAATCCACAGCATGGCCGAAGGTGTGAGCAGCAGATCCTCGCTTTTGTCGGATGACGACGACCACCAGCAAACCGTTATGAGAAGAGATAAGGAGGATAAAGATCGAGCCCTTGAACAGTTAAAAACACTATTCAATCAGAGTAATGAAAGTGGACGCACTTCCCAAAACAACTGATTTGTAATTTTCCATCAAATTCTTATCGTTCTAAGGAAGCCTTAAATTTATTTATAGTAAATCATATCTCAATTTGTCATCGGAAGACAATCAAAAATGTAAGAAAAATGTACATGAATAAAATTATAACTTGTAAAACGGATAAAATTGAGTAAAGCTATTAATAACCTATGCACAGTTTGAAATTGTTTGTTTTCCTCTCTTTTTCTCAGTTATTTGAGGCTTTGGCAAAGGACGTCGGAATAATAACACATGCCTTTCTGGAGAGTGTATCATATAATGAATCCATCCTGGAGACTGAAAACATTCCGTTCCGCTAGTAAACTTTACATTCCAACCTGTTGGATACCCAAACTTCTCCACTCACTTTCGGACATCAGACGATTTTTGGGAATGAGTTTAGCAACTTCCTAAAAGTGGGAATGAGCTCCAAGAGGAAGTCTCTTTGAACATACCTTAGTCACATGCACGTGACGATACTCATACTCATCGTCTTCGTATTTTGCGGAATAGTAGAAATCGTTAGCGCTCATCTTAAAATACAGTTTAAAACAAAATCAATATCACCGAACCAAGGAACAAATAGGGGAAAAAACCAAGCAAAAGCGAACAAAATTAGATGAGCCCATGTTTATGTACACAGTTAGTGTTAAGAAACAAATAATCCCAGAAATACCAGTTAGCATTCATTGAGTATCGGATAAGGTAATACAGTTACATAGTACCGTCACTTTTACGCACACGGTGGAATAGTTTTTAGATTTCCCTCTGCAGATGACGTAGGTTTCTTTGGAAGCGGACGGCGAAAAAGAATTATGTGGCGTTCAGGACCGTGAATCATGTAGTGAACCCATCCTTGAGACTGAAAAAAACGCAATAGTTCATTCTACTGTTCAAAATTATACCTGTTGGATTCCCAAACTTCTCCATTCTGATTCTGACATTAGACGGTTTTTAGGGATTTGCTTGGCAACATCCTGAAATCCACAAAAATCTGAGTAATATTTGGAGAGCTTACCTTGGTCACATGCACATGACGATACTCATACTCATCGTCTTCATATTTAGCGGAATAATAAAATTCGTTAGATCCTGTGGTCATCTTCAACGAAAGAAAATAACAACGTCAGAGACAAAAGCGTCAGGTATGATGTTGGGAGCAACCAATGATTGTGTAACACTCATCGTTTCACAATTATCATTAAATTACAGTATTAAACACACGGATAATTTAAAAAAAGTACATACACGTTTCTTATGAAAACTAAAAAATATCAACATTTAGTATTATAGTTGTCAATTAACGAGATCATAGTTTATCTATATTATAATTCTTCAGGTAAGCATCTGGATTCTGGAATGATAGTCAACCAATGGAGAGATAAAGAACTAGCAGACTTACTTCGACAAATTTGGAATAGAACTCTGGAGACATGGGTATATTTTTAGTGACTTCGTTGTTGTTAATAACCACTTTTAAACGGAGAAAAGAAGAAGGCTCAGAATTATCCTTCGATCCCGAGCGAACTAAAAGGATTACGAATGGAAGGTAACAATGGAAAGAGCAAACCTATGAAACTGTATTCCTTGACTTGACTAGGCAGGATCGACATCTAAAAATATTTCAACTTCAAATAGAAAAAAAATAACCTCAATATTAAAGATATGAAATGATTTTAACATATCAAAAGCGATAAACAATCATATTATTGAATAGTGTTAAAAAAAACTCAGAAAAAAACGCTCATTCACCTAAACAGCAGGACTCACACCGAGGAAGCATTTATCTTCTTTTGAGAGCCGTAATCATTCTGGAATGAAATGTATAAACGATCTATCAACAAACAAGTCTCACCAGAACGTTTCGCTCCAACTTGAAAATTTCATAATCGTCAGTCACAGCGATTAAAATTCTACCGGAAGCTCCGAAGGCTACTTGCCTTATAGGAGAATTACCAACACGCACTACGTAATCACTAAATTCAATTTTAAAGTTTGCTGAGCAATAACAAAATTACTCACGCATCGCCTTCAGGAGAATCTCTATCTCTGATATTGAAAAAGTGCAAGTGTCCACTCTTAGAACCAAAGACAACCCACTGAAGTATTCGTAAGTCTAGTACCAAATAAATGCGCTTACTCTTCCAACTGGATCTATATCAAACTTCAAGAACCAAACGTCACATGCTGGCAAATTGAGCTGCGCGATTCTTGTACAAGCACTGTCAGCCTAGAAGAGAAATAAGAAATTTTATTAACAGCAAAACTACCTTTATTCTAAACACTTGATCATAAGGTTCATTGTGGTGCCCAAAGCGATAAATGTTAGCAACTCTCTCAGATCCCTATTAAAAATTAAATGAGTCGGATAAAAATTTTTATAAACCTTGGAAATTAAATGCCAACCGACAAATCTAACACAGTCAACATAATCACAATGGAGATCAGTGGTCCAAGCATTAGGATAATAAATATGCTTGGTTGGCAAGCTTTTATTAGCGTGATGTCTGAAAGTATATAACTTATGAACGATGCTTAGATTATCAAACCCAGGTCTGTAACATCGAAGAGTTGCCTCACCCTCTCTCTGCAGACTGAATGCAATCAAGTCTCTAGCAGCAGGAGTTATGTACCACATTCTAACGGAATGATCCATTCCACATGACACTAAGAATCTACTGTCAGGAGACCAATCCTGAACGAGTCTAATCAATTCAACCTTCGCCTTCAGAACTAACACATGACAACACTTGGTCCATATGTCCTTCAATACCACCAAAAACAACAAGACACAGCCCAACCCTTATATTCCATATACGGACAGTGGTGTCTTTCGATACTGAGGCAATGATCATCGAGTTTGAAGGATCAGTTCGAATCTCGTTGATAACATCACCATGACCCCACAATTCCTTTAAACAACAGTATCAAAATTAATAGGCTTTTAAACAAAACCTGGACAAGTTCGCCATTTGCAGGATCAATGACTTTAATGAAAGCACTGTAACCACCTGCCACAATGAGACTTCGTTGAGCGACAACATCATAACACCAAGTTATAGCAAAATAAGATTCTTCAGACTATGATAAGGAAGAAGTATGAAAAAGCTAACAAACAACTTACATTGTTATCAACGAAACTCCGCACCAACGATAGATCATGGTAATCCACGGAACAATCGTACACACTTATCTAGATTTCGAGAGAATAGGAAGATTGTGGAATATGCAAATTTACCATCTCTCTCGCCGCAGTTGCTAACTGTGCTCTATTCCCCTTTTGATAATGGTTAAAAGCTGCCGCATATATAGGTTGTTTATGAGATGTTTCCTTAATGTTCATTGTTTATAATTAAGATAATTGTTCATTTTCCTCACTAGCACTGTATTAGTAAGCTTGAAAGGCTGTTCCAAGTTATCATTCTCTATCATTTCATCATAAAACGCATCAACATGATCAAAACCTAAACAATTAGAAGCGCGATTTGGAAACCATGAGGAGCCAACTCACTTTTATTACGCTTAGGTTCTGTTCTGACTTGTCCGTTTGTAAGTTCTACCACATCGCCGTCTTCCTCCCGCTTTATAAAAGCCACGGTTTGATGCTCAGGTTTTTGTCCAACATTTTTTGGTTTTCCCAGAGGAAAGTTTTGGTAAGATTTATTAGCAGCTTGAGCTTTTGCATAATCTGGAGCCGCCGCGGTCCATGTAGTATGGACTATATCACATTCCTCTGTTGGTAGAACATCATTGTCCTCACCAGTACTCATCAGTACTTAGAAACTAAAATGGACATTATATTTTAGTTTAAAAAGACGTATATGGGAAAACATCATGATATTATAATTTTATCATTATCCGAACAAAGCGCTAAATATACCTTGAGGCCAAAATTAATGCAAATATCATTTTACTTTAAAAAATATATTTTGATCAAAAAAATTAATTCAAAACTTGTTTGGCGCCATTCGACCCATATGCTCCTCTCAAGACCAATACGACATTTACACCAATCGTGGTAGGACCAATTCTCTTCTCATTATATATTAAGGCTGGAATATTCGAAGAGTTCCGTTCGCGGTTTAAACAAAGTTACTTTGTGAAATCTAATTCTAATTTTCTTTGTCTTATATATAATTTTTAAGCAAAATGGCGATGAATATACCAAAATCCGGATATAATCGCTTTATGAAAGAAGGCGCTCAGGTATATAACCATCTAATGTTCTACTCACCTTCTTTCATCTGTTTTTCAGCATTTCAAGGGTACTGATGAAGCTGTTGTAAGAAACATCGATGCTTGTGTTGAATTGGCCGCTCAACTCCGATCCGCTTACGGACCAAATGGTTTGTCTACATTAATTCATTAATTTGAAAACCCATATTTGGCAGGAATGAATAAGATGGTCATCAATCACATTGAAAAACTTTTCGTTACCAACGATGCTGCCACCATTCTCAAGGAGTTAGATATCCAACATCCAGCTGCCAAAATTATTATTATGGCCAGTGAAATGCAAGAGAAGCAGGTTATAATGTCGAGCAACAGTGTAATATATTAAATAAGATGTGTATAGGTTGGAGATAACACCAATACTGTTGTTATTTTGGCTGCTGCTCTTTTGGAAAATGCTTCTCATCTCATCAACATGGTATGAAAGATTTTTTTTTTTGAGAAATCATCATTGATTCAGGGACTTACCCCCCAAGAGGTTGCCGCTGGGTATGAGCAAGCTGCTGAGAAAGCCTTGGAAATTTTGCCAACCTTGGTTGTAAAGGATGCCAAAGATTTGAAGGATATTGAGGAAGTAAGTAAATGATGAGATTAACCGTAATTTGATAATTTTTCTTAGGTAAGTAAGCTTATCCGTTCTGCTATCACATCCAAGCAGTACGATAACGAAGAGGTTATTGCTGATCTTGTTGCCAGAGCCTGCGGTTTGTGAGCACCCTTTTGCCTGAACTATTGTGATATTTACAGTTCAAACAGTTCCAGCCAATAGCTATAACTTCAATGTTGACAATATCAGAATTTGCAAGATTTTGGGATCCGGAGTCTCCAAATCTCAAGTATGTTGGTTGAGTTGTATCAAATCACATTGAATGTTAAGGTCATGAACGGTATGGTGTTCAAGAGAGGAGCTGAAGGAGAAATTAAGAGTGTTAATGATGCTAGAGTAGCTGTTTTCACTTGCCCATTCGATCTTACTCAAACTGAGACTAAGGTTTACATTGCTGATAATCAAGAAAAGCATATATGATTTTAGGGTACCGTTCTCATTGAGAACGCTGACGAGCTTATGAATTTCTCTAAGGGAGAAGAGAGTGAAGTAGAAGAGCAAGTTAAGGCTTTAGCCGATAATGGAGTACAGGTATAGTTTCTAATCTTCTGTCCCGAAGAAATGAATATTATAACAGGTTGTTGTTGCTGCTGGCAAGTTCGGTGATCTCTACCTCCACTTCTTGAACAAATACAAGATCATGGCAGTTAGGTTTGTTAATTTTGATTTTTACAATTCTGAAACGGATCACCTTCAGACTCACTTCTAAATTTGATCTCCGTCGTTTGTGCCGTACTTTAGGTGCTCAGGCTCAAGCTAGAATCGTGAGTTTTCTGTAGAAAAGGTTGTTATAACTTTTTATCTTTAGTGCGCTCCAGCCGTAAATCTTCTCGGTCAATGTGATTCAGTCGCCGTGAAGGAAATCGGAGATGAAAACGTCTGTGTTTTCAACAGAACTGTAAGCTTTATTTTGAAAAATGGATAAATTTTTGAATTCTTCAGGGTGAAAAGGGAAATGTTGCCACAATCATCATTCGTGGATCATCACAGTCTCGTATTGACGATGTTGAGAGAGCTGTTGATGACGCTATTAATACTTATAAGGCACTCACCAAGGAAGGAAGAGTATGTGAACTGATTAACAAACGGAAGTCTATCTTCTTTTTAGCTTCTTGCCGGAGCTGGAGCTGTCGAAGTTGAACTCGCCCGTCAAATTGAATCATGGGGAGAGAAATGTGCCGGTTTAGAACAGTACTCTATCAAGAAGTTTGCTTATGCTCTCGAGACCCTTCCCAAATGTATTGCTGAGAACGCAGGAATGAACGTATGTTTTAGGATCACCTATCATATCATATGACTTTATTTAAAGGCTACTGACATTCTTACCAAGCTCAATGCCGCTCACGAAAATGGAGAAGTTAATGCTGGTATCGATATTTGGGGACACAGTAGGGAACATCCAACATTCGCTTAAGTTTCCTCGCATTTACAGAAGTAATGGATGCTGTTAGCAATAACATCTTTGATTTATTCGCCGGAAAACACCTTGCCATCAAGTTGGCCACCGATGCCGCTTCCACAATCTTGAAAGTTGACCAGGTAAGAATCAGGAGCTACTTCTGAATTAAGCTTTTCATCAGATTATCATGGCTAAACAAGCTACTGGTGGACCAAAACCAAGAGCACCTAAAGGTACTGACGAGATCGATGATGATGGAATGGCCTAAGCATTTTGATTTTGTACACCATTTACTCGTGTTTGAAGTTTATAGCTTTGCTGTTTTGCTCTCAGCCAACTTTTTTTCTTGGCAAAATCATTAGTATCTCGCGTGTTTTACTTTATAATCAAGTCATTGTTGCTTGTTTTTTCGCTTGTTATTGTTTTACATAAAACTTTGCCTCATAATCACAGCGTATTTATCAATGTTTGAATCAGATTTATACTTAACATTATATTACGTTATGAAGGAAGCGTATGAAAACTAAATTGTTAGGAGCGATGCATAAATTTGATGAGGAAGTGGCTGCAGTTTTCAAACGGGAGTCTGATCACAAAGCCCAGTTGGAGAGGTATGTGTTACGGAAGTGTATGTATAATATCAGTATTGAAGTCTGTGCTCGCTTCTAAATGAAACATTTCCCAAATGCAATGAGATGAGTTCTAGTGATCTTCTCCAACTCGTTCAAGCCGGTATTTAAAATGCATATGTTTTCTTTAATTATTCATCTCTAGTGGTTAATTTGGAAGCAGGCAGCATGGTTGTTTCTCGTCAATTTGTTACATCAGTTATTAATCAATTGGAATTATGCAATTTGGATTGTAGCGTTGTGAAAGAGATTACTAAAGATCTGTTAGAGATACTCCAGCCAAGAAATATTTCGTACGAAGAGCAGGTACTGCCGGGATCTTTTCTGGAAAATAAAAAATCCTTAGACTTCAACACTTCGAATGAAACTAGCCGATACTTTTGAAAGTGAGGGTGACCTCTCATCTGCAGCTCAATGTCTTATGGGCATTTCAACAGAACCGAGTGGGAGGTTTGGCTAACGGTTTTTTACGATTGGCATGATCAGTTCAGATTAATTAGCCAGTCCTTACGTATGGGGTTACTTCTGCGTATTGGAAAATTGCTTCTGGATGTTGACCAAGTTAGCGAAGCAGAAGGATATATTAATAAAGCTAGCATGCTCCAAGAAGATAAAACTGATGCGATCAGCGTGAAGTTCAAGGTAGCTACAACATTATATGAACAGCGTTAACAACCGATTGATTTCTCGTTCCACATGAAAATGAGAAAACGCTCCTATCCTTTATGACGGTCTCACGTTTATGCTAATTTTACAGATGATCTATTCTCAATTGCTGGATAGAAAAAGAAAGTTCTGTGACGCTGCTCAGCGCTACTATGAATGCTCATTGATGATAGATGTACTGGGTTTGGCTGATTGTATGAAATCGCTGAGTAAATCTATCATTTGTACCATATTGGCTAGTCCTGGTATTTCTTGTCATTTTGTCATCTCAAAATTCTTTGTGATAATAGGTATTTCGAGAACAAGGATGCTTTCGATCCTCTATAAGGATGAGAGAGCCAAGAGTTTGCCACAAAACGAGTTGTTGAAGAAATTATTCTTGGATCGTTTCGTTAAAGTGCATGAGGTTATCTACAAGTTAGATATCGTTATATCAAATTCAACTTCCAGCTAGAAGAGTTTGAGAGATGCTTATGCAAACATCAGATTTATAACGAGAAAGGAGAATCCATTGTGCGGAGCGTAATCCTAGAGCATAATGTTTCTGCTATTTCGCAAGTTTATGTTAATATATCTTTACAAACCATGGGTGACTTATTAGGAATAACAGCTGAGAAGGTGCGAATATTATCATTTCCAACTTATCTTTGCTGTTCAGGCAGAAGAAATTGCTGTTCAAATGATTTCTGCGCAAATTTTGAGTGGAAGCATTGATCAAATCGAAGGATATGTACATTTTACTAGTAATATCATGTTTCTATCACTGATCAACAGTTTAATTTACAGAATACGAAGCTTTAAAGGACTGGGATCAGCAAATTTTATGTTTATGTGAACAAATTAACAGAGTTTCGGAACTGATTGTGAACGAGCATCCGAATTTAGCAGTCAAGTAAAGAGAGGAGAAGAGCCTCGGTTTCTTTCAATTGAACTAAATTATTGTAAATTCCAAAATTTGAATAAATTCAAATCTTTCCAATGATATTTTCCTTGATTGCAATCAAAACTTGAGTGAGATCTTCTGAACTTTACCACGCTAGTTCGGCTGTCGCCGATGGTGTGATATCCCTGATAAGATAAGTACGAGGAGAATCTTTGATTGTACAAGAAAATCTATGCAAGGAAAGGAAACCAGAAAATCCAATCTCAGAGATGAAAAACATAGATGTCTAGTCAGGTGCATTGATTTTCATCTTGAAGAGGTTAAAACAGTGAGCGGGAGAACATCCGCTATGACCGAAAGCTTTGAGGTTAAAAATAATAGTCGAGGAAACTTCATCAGTTCAATGACAAATTGAAACACAAACATTATCACATCCATTTTGTAATTGAAGAGAAGTAACTGAACAGTTCAGATTTCAGTTACACGTCATCAATTATTGCGTTCTTTGCCCCAAGAGAGGTTTCCTATGGTTTCTCTCTCACCAAAGCACTTATGTTTCTTAGGTTCGTGTTTTCGTGATTATGTTATGCATAATTTCTAATGTTTTGAAGAAATAATTCAAAAAAAAGAAAGTGAGAAAAGGTTATAGTTTGAGATGGCAGGCGGTCACTAAATTCTTGGTAATTAACACGGCACTCGGTTCCTGTTTTGTGTCTTCTCAACTACGAAATACAAAAAGAGAAGGCGGAGAGGACTGTCATTCTTGGTCTGTTTTTGTTTTCAATTTGTAAGTTACGCTGTTCCAAAAAGTGACTATTAGAAAAAGAAGAAGAAAAGAAGAGGTAAATATGGCAAGAGGGCATTGGCCGAAATGTTTGTGGGGTGGTGGCACCCCATTAAGGACAACTTGTATCTTCATTTCTCTGCTGTTGCTTATTGTGCTACCTTTTTGACTGTAAACAGTTCCAGAAAAAGCAGACACCCTTTGCAAGTTTATTTTTCGATTCCATGATGTCCAGTGTGAATCTGTGTTCCTTTCATTGAAGTCTTGTCAATTCCCTCAAACTATATCTCGGCTGTTATTAAACTTCAACATGTTGGAGCCACTTTTAAGATGTGTTTTGATGTATTGAATGAAGCTAGTTCAGCTGCTAGTGAAGGTTTATTGGCTAGTCCTGTTGGTCTTTCTGACTGTCAACTGTATTCTTTCATTTTTTCTGGTTCTTCACCAAAATGAAAATTGAAAAAGAAAACAAAAGCAAAATCCAATAATGTACTTCTTCGATGTTAGTTTTGAAGAATATCTTGCATGAATTGAGATGAAACAATCTCCAAACATGGACTGTCGTTTCGTATTCTTGTCTACAGACTGACCACTTCTTGTTATTGTTATTGCTTTATCTAATGCGAGAAAGCGAAAGAATGAAAGAAAACGAGAGAAAAATCTTCGTCGAAATGAAGCCGAGCGGTTTTTAAGCATGAAAGCGAATTACTGTTCGAAATAACTTTAGATCCTAAAGTAAGTCCAAAGCTTGAAATCGAAAATGACATCTATGCTACTCCATATTCAAGTTTCAAAAATATTCGAGCTATTTTGTTTCGAAACGTTCCATTCTTTTGTTGTAAAACTTTTTGATGTATGAAGCTATAGGGGTTGAAATAATAATCGAATGGTCTTTCGTTAGTAAAAGGATGTAACCTTTATAGATTTTTCGTCTTATAGTACGTCCATTGAGATGTTGTTTCTCTTGTACAACTTACTACAACTACTATAAAACATCCATCATCCGATGGTCTTCTTCGTTTTTTCTCAATTTCTATATCTATCCCAAAACACTCTTTCGTTCCCTCATCTCATCCTTCTTTATTCTATTTTCTCGCATCTTCTCATCTTGTCCAGTTAATCACGTAATCTCTAGACATTTTGCTTCTCATCCTATGTCTGGTCAATCAAGATCCTGTCCCTTTCGTCAGTTAGATCTCACTTATGACAGTCAAAAGCCGCTTCTTGTTATTCTTCTGTGCTTTCTCGTTACTTTCCAGCAATAGACAAAAAAAAACTTCTTTTCAACAGCATTGTTTCACTTTTTTTTCCAATACAGAAAACCATCCTCAGCCTTTTTACAATCGTCATTTTGACTTCTTTTGATGAAAACATTTTTTTGGTTCTCAAAGAATGTGATCTCGTGCCTGCTTAATTATAATTCAAATTTCTTTAATTTATCCACGTCATAAGTACTATTCAACCTAGCATCCTAGCATCTTTACAGAAATAGCTTTCGTATATTAAACTTCCCAACCATTATACATCATCCACTTCCATAGTTACCCTTTATAGTTTTAATATCCAGTTGATTAGCATACGAGATGCAGAAGCTGAAAACTCACGTAGTTCACGTATATGTGCAAGAACTTTTCATTTTCATCTGTAGTATTCCGAAGAACGGTTGTTTCTCATTTATATTTTCGAACTTTGTGTATCAGCATGTTCCATAGTTATCTTTAGTTTCTTTTCACAATAATTGTATTGTTCTTTCGCAATTGTTTTCTTATCAAACATTTTTCTTCCTTCCTGTATGTTAAATTGTTTGTGGTCGAGAATTGTTTGCGAGGAAAACAATTAATGACTGCTGTTCTACAAATATTTCTGTACATTTTGAGGTTACGCTCTCATCTCTTTATAACATTCATATTCTTCCTTATCTGCTGCTTTCACTTCCTTCTATGATGCTATTCCTATATTTTAATTTTTTCAAACCTTTTTCGTTCTCCTTTCTCTTTTTATTTTTTCTTTTTTTTTTTTTGCAAAAAAAAAGAAAATTATTTCCAAAACGTGCACTTACGTTCTCAAATGATAGACTGTTGGAGCAGAACATGCATTTTGAGTTTTTTCTCGATGATTTCTAATCTTCTGGACTTATTACTTTAATAGTTTAATGATATAACTCATCTAAGCAGAAAGGAAAATATTTTTTTGTTCTCAGACACAAAGACTAATAGCTATTTCTTCTATTTTACAAATATTTTGACATGTCAATATAAATTGAAAATAAATATAATATAACAGAAGAAAAGAAGAAAAGAAAGTTCATATAAAGAGCTGGATAGCCTGATAAACACATAAATAGTATAAGTTTGACTATAAATGACCTAAGAACTCCTCATATCTATTCCCTTCATTACATTCTTCTGTACTGTGATAAATGAAAGTATTCAGATGAACTTATTTATATTTATTAATAGAAGAACAGAAATCGTTGACAAATTGTAAGCTTCTGACCTTTCTTTGCTTTCATAGTCTATTTCCAGTTTTACCATTTTGTTTTATTTGAAAAACGAAAGAACTAATTACAATGAACGTCAAAGACATTTCATTATTGGCTTATTTTTTGTAAATTTAAAAAAAAACAAAAATGTCAAAATCTAATAAGTTTCATAGTTAAATGCTACCAATGACTCTTATTACAATCAAGCCAGATTTGTATGTTTCAACTGCATGATCGAATTGTATGCCGTCTCTTTCGTATTGTCTCCAACAAGTTTTTATTCATCCTCATTCGCAAGATAATGTCTCATCAAGCTATTAACCCTCGATATTCCTCTCTCACATTACCATTTCAAGTTATCATCTTATTTTTCTTCTTCTTTTTTTCTCTTTTTTTTGGTCTCTTGATGACTTGACTTAAAAGAAACAAATCTCGCTGAAGATGCTGCTTAGAAAGATGAAAGAGAAAGGATTCTCTTATCCTAAACAAGTTATATAATTCCTAAATAAGATAGAGAGATTACATTTATGAAAGTTTCATCTCTCGTTTTCTGGTATGAATGAGAATAAGGAGAGGCCATTTGTGATGGACCAGAGTTTATCTGCAAATTGATTATGATTTCATCTAATTGAAACATCAATTCATACCAATTTTCCATAATAATATTTTTTCTCATTTAAGCCTATGAATAATTAAAAATTAATTTGAATTTTATTATAGAAACGCTAAGCTGACGAAGACGGTGTTGAAGATTAAGGGGAAAGAGATGAGAATTTATGAGATCCTTTTAACATTTTTATTTTTTGTATCACTGGCACTGCCTAGACGTCTCTCTCACTTTCATAATCTGCGTAATTAAGTTTTTTTTTTCCTTTTTTTGCTTTACATTTGTCTGGATTATTTTCCTATTTCTTGCTGATTATAACAATCTTTGTATTATCCACTCATTGTTCTTCAATCTTACGTTAATCTAAAATCTAAAAAAAAACTTTCTTTATGTTCAATAGAAATGAAGAACTTAGAGACGAGACTATTGGAGATGTTAGATAGAATAAGGCTGTAAGAGAGTGATGAGTGAGGAAAAAAATTTTTTTTTTTACTACTTTCATCAGCAGTTTTGAACAGTCAGAAAGCAAGCAACACAAAAGTTGTATACGTATCTCTAGCATCTCCCCACATTCCATTATATTTTTGTATTTTTTTATATATATATTTCTATGTTGTCTGTGAAGCTGTGGGCGGAGTTCGATGGAGAACCCTGCACCACGGGCCGAGTATCAGGCTGTACCAACTTGCGGCCATCTTTTCGTATGGCTTGTGTGTGACGCATGTGCTGATTGTCTCTGCTCTCTAGATAACATACACTCCTTTCACTGGTTTGGTCTTCAGACAAAGCTCTAGACGAAAATTCCTCAGCTGTTATAGAATAGGTTTTAATTTTGAAAAAGAAAAAAAAAAGGAATGAAAATAGTGAGCTGAAAGAAAGGAAGAGTTAGGGAACAGGAAGCAGTTTACATATCTACATACACACAAACAGACACACACTTTAACGACTGAGCAGATGATCGAGCTAAAACAAAAAGAGATGAGAGAAGAGAAAGAGCGATAAGAAAAAATAGAAGAAGAAATGGAAAAACAGACTAAAATCTTTGAAACCTAATGAAAAGAGCTGTTTCAGTAGACATGTCGTACTTTGCCCATCGTTCGTCCGAAATTTAAAAACTGCTGATCCATATATTCTTTTTGC